CTTTAAAAATTGGGTAGTCTGAGTACTTCCTCCTACCAGGCAATGATATGGAAGAAGATTCTTGTTCTTTTCAAGGCTTGATAAACTCACATTAAACACCTGCTGATTGTCTTGTTACACTTGTTGAAGTAAGATCCCTGCTAGCTACTCTCTCCAGCTGAGTTAATAATTATCTTGGAAGTCATGAGCTTTTGTTAATGAGACTCAATATTGTACTTTTACTTCAGGAGGGTGGTCCTCACAGTTGCATTCGTATTCGGAAAAAATTCAAGAGCTAAACCTTCTTCAGTTAAGTGTCACAGTCCAATTCATAGGAGGAGGGACTGTCTCAAGGCAAAATGATTTTTGTCAGCAGCGTTGAGGTCTGCTAGACTGACGCTGCGTTTTAGCCAATACTTTCACAGCAGACATCTCCTCCATGTCTTCTCCATGGTCATAAAAAGAAGAAATTTTCGTATCTAACATTAGCTGTTGTACGCTAACAGTTAAGTGTTGACCTTGGTTTTCACTGAGAAGGTCCACTGCTATGGAAATCTCTTTGTAGCTGATCTGTGGACTTGAACATAAACATGAATATGACAGAGTATCTCTCAGTCCTGTAGGAAAGGTAGAGTTAATGTCTATAGACCAAAACTACTGAAGTGGATCCTGCAGAAAAAATTGAACTTGCCTTGCTTGGATTTTGAAAGTCCTGTTATTATACTGAATTTGTCATACTCTGCAGAAGGAGATATTTTTGTGTGTTTTTCTCGAAAAACATGTCTGATGTAAGTTGAGGGAATTTCAGGAGGTCTTCTCCTAGTCCATCCAGCTGAAGGAAGCATTGTAAGGGATGTGTGAATGTTGTTACTCTAGCAAAGAAATTTGCAGGTAACCAATACCTATATGTGTATCGGCTGACATGGTTCAGTAAAGTCATAAACATTAAAGCCAATGGGTAAATGCAGATCCCTGACAGAAAATGCTCATTTTATGAAGAAAGCTGCAGTGGAGCTGTCTGTAGGTTGTGGGAAAACAGCAGCGATGCTTAGGATTACACCATAAAAGTGATATATAAAGTTCATATTATTCTTCCTGTCTGATGCCATCAGACCCCATTAAACGTGTCATCACATTCCTTTTAAGATATTCCACCCTTAGTGAATGGACCAACGCTTTGTATGGTTGGTCAGAGAGTCAAAATTCAGCTGCTTTCATGGCTGTATCCCAACTTTGGGAGGTCATATCCTCTGTTTAGTTTGTGTTGACACATCATGAGCAGCAATATCTAACCAGAAGGGCAGGGGGGATATTAGGTGGCCGGCCCAGCTCAGGTTGCACATGGGCAAGAAGCAGCATGTCTGCACCCATGGTGTCTGGATACCAGACTCGGCACATAGACTGGAGAAAGTATTCGGCATTTAGGAAAGCACGTGCTGACCAAGCATCTGTGCCTCATCTCCTCTGGGAAAGCTTTAATTCTGGTCCTCACCATTTCCCCATCTTGATTACTGTGACATTCGCCTCTCGTTGGGTTTTTGATGGCACATCTTGACAAGCATATATTGAGACAGTCTGTCATTCATCTATATCACCTTTCTTCTCTGTTTTTTTCCCTACCGTGCCATCTGCAGGTTTCTAAACAAAAGAACTGTTTCACTGGTCCTGAATTACAGCTTCTCTCCTGGCAAGCTCTCCTGTGCCTTGCACATCTGCCTTTCACATTTCCAGAGATACCAGCTGTGAATTAGCTTTTGTGTCTTTGTCCTACAAACGTCCCAACCTCCCTCCCCTCCTGGTTACTTTTCACTGTAATTTCCAGCTGTTTAAGGATTTTGCTGGGAACTGTGGTAATGTTTGAATCAAAATTGCCTTGGTTAGAGGGGCCCCTAAGTGCTGGTGTGATTCAGTGTCTTGATGGAAACAGTATTTGCAGAGCTGTGCACTGAACAACCTCTCCGGTCCTCCCCATTTTTGTCTGGGAACAATTTTGAACTAGCACCAATTTGTTATTTTGTTCGAATGCGTTGTTGTGGAGGTTTTTTCTGTAGCGGCAGAGGAAATTTTTGCAGCTCTTTTACCCTGTTTATAGCTGCAACCTGAAAAGCCAGGCTGGGGTCAGGCTGATGGAGCAAAAAAGAGGGGTCAGCCAGGGCACGGATTTACAGTTAGGGAAATAATCACATCGCTGGTGTGAGGGCGGCTTAATTAATTAATTTACATGCCTGCAAAGAGAGAGCTTTAACTCACACTTCAGCTCCTGTGTCTGGCACTCAGAGCTCTTTGAGCCGAGCTGGAACCTGTCATTTTGAAAAGTTTTGAGTGTCACCCAGAGAAAAAGGCTTAGCTGGTACATAACATTTTCCTCTCTGGGGACATAAAGTTTTAGACAGAGTAGAATTGACTAACTTCAGGCCTTCTATGTTAATTTCTGTTAATTAGCTGGCATTTCGTGTTATATCCATTACTATTTTCAATTAGCTGTCAGCAAATATTTTCAGTGCAACTTTTCTGTTATTAAACGGATTTCCCACAAGTTTGGCCTTACAAAAACAAACAAACGCATGCACGTATTTACTGCCACACCACCATGTTAGTCAGAATTTCAGCAGTAACCTAACAAACTGTGAGACTGTGTATTGGTAAGACAGGAGGACAGCTTCGCTTCTTGAGCAGTCTCTTGACTTAAGTAGGTTTTTCATCATAGTCACTTGACTGTTTTTACTGCTGTGGTTTTCAGAGATTTTATTATCATTATTAGTTGTAAACTTTTTAAAATCTCCTCCCACCACCACCTTTTTTTGTAGATAACTGCTATGAGGTTGAAGAAAATGTCTTTTTTTTTTTTTAAAAGGCTGAGTGATGTTCTGTTCAGACAACAAGAGTTTCCTGAATCTTGCTAGTATTTTCTATGCATTAAGAACATTACACCAAAAAAAAGCTTTCTGTTGGTATTTTTGACGAGCATTTAAATAAGCGGGTCTCCAATTGTTCCTGTGTACTACAGCCTGTACTGCCTGGCATCATTGATTATTTTATCTGTGGAGTCAGGAGAAATCCTGAAAAAGTTTATTCTTTGTCAACCTGTGCTCTTGCCTAGAGCTTGGCCAGTTGGACCGGCCTAGAACAGAAATAGAGAGTTATAAGCCTCCAAGTGGGGCAAAAGTTGTTTATTGCTGAAAGCCTGTAATAGGCGAATTGGCAGAATCGGCTTTTTGTTTGCTGCAGAAGCTCTGAGGTTCTCCCGGAGCGGTGAAGTGGGGAGGCTGAGGTCCCCGGCAGTGTCTCTCTCACCGGGTGGAAAGGCGGATTCGCAGCCGCGTGTGCAGCCTTTCGGCGTTATAAATGCTATTTTGGAAAGTGTGCGGGTGGGAACTGGATGGCTGAGTACGCTGGTAACGAGCCGCGGGTCCCGTCCCCGCACCCCCTTGGTGGGGACGGACAGATGGCGCGTTGGTGGCTTTGCAGGATGGCGATGGTCCCCGTCCAGCTCTCAGCAGACAGTCATCCCCGGCACGAGGCGGGGATCCCAACAAGTGCTAATTGCCAACCCTGGTGACAGTCTTAGGAGAGAGAAGCCTGAGGCTGATATGTGTTGTTGGGAGGACAGGGTCCCCTCTTCAAGGGAGTTATGGGCTGATTTGGGGGGGTTTACGTTGCCACTATATATTGCCATACCATTTATTTTTCTGTAAATAAAGGGTTTCGGTTCCTAAGGCTGTCAGTCTGCTCCCTTCCACTGCATCAGTTTTTAAAAGTATAAGTACAGGAAATGGAAAAGGTCTTTTAGCTTTATCATAGAAAATGTTGTGGTTTCTCTGCTGATCTTAATAACTAAATCAGGATTACGCTAAGTTTAGGCTTCTTGTCGTAAGGAGGGGACAATGGCAAGGGACATTATTCCCAGAAAATTTTGCTTTGCCTAGGGATTGGACATCAGGACTGTATGATTTGCGATTGAACACAGAAAAATTTAAGGAAAAATAAAGCATTGAGGAGTTAACCGGCAAAGCAATCAATGCGCAATGATCGGTATGAGTAGGGAAGGGTATGTAATATCTTGGATCACTATCATCAGAAATTGCTACTGTGGGAATTGGCATGTTAGCATATGTAGCTGAAAGTGAAATTTGAACTTCATGCAAACAGAAATAACTTTCTGCCGTATTTCTTTCTCTTTAAAAAACTGCAATCGAAATATTGAGGGAGAATTTTGAAACATATTGATTACATTTTGAAGGCATATTATTAAATCTCTTGAGTGCTTGTTGATCTTGGATCATTTCATTTTCACAGTGTTTCAGACTGAAAATTATTAGTAATTCTGTTAAAGTTTCAGCTAAATTACTAATTAACTTTTGTCTCAAAGATTTTATTTCTTACGTGTTTCTGGCAGCACAGTACGCTCTTTATATAATGCAGCATAAATTTTTTGCTACCTGCCTCTCTGTGCCCCTTACAATCGTATAAAGCAGTTTTGGAATTAATGAGCTGTCACATCTCAGGTAATGAATGAAAAGAACTGACAGAAATCCTTTTGTTGTTTAAGAAATTCCAAATAATTAATGGGAAAAAAGTGACAGAGATTCTTTTACGATTTAAGAAGAAATGTATCTTTCAAATTCATTGCATGACTGAAGAAACTTTAAAATATGTTTGCAAAAAAGCAGGGATCCTGCTTAATGGCTTAATTCCAGTTCTCTCTTCTGGGATAAACTTGCAGCATTTAAGATAAAAGGATTTTATGTTTTGAGAAATAGATTCCTAGGCTGGAGGTTCCCCGTTCCACGTTCATCTCAAAAGTAAAAAGTCTTCCGAATTCCTGTATTGCCATTGTGGGCATATCTGAGTTAGGCACTGAGCATGTTTATAGTGAGCATATCTTGTGTACACAGAAGATTTTGTGAACTGCAGGTTTTGTTTGGCAAGGGATGGGTGTTTGCTTACGTTTCATCTTTTTTCCAGTTTATGAAGTCCCACTGTACCTATTCAGAGTAACCTCTGGTGCTGTTGTTTTCCAGGTAACCGTCTCAGATGGGGGCACATCTCCCAAGCAGTCCTCCGTTTGGGTGGTGGTCCAGGTTCTGGATGAGAATGATAATAAACCTCAGTTTCCGGAGAAAGTCTATCAGATCAAGCTGCCAGAGAGGGACCGTAAGAAAAGAGGGGAGCCAATCTACAGAGCTTTTGCTTTTGACAAAGACGAAGGCCCTAATGCAGAAATCTCATACAGCATTGTGGATGGAAACGATGATGGGAAATTTTTTATTGATCCCAAAACAGGGATGGTTTCTTCCAGGAAGCAGTTCACAGCAGGGAGTTATGACATCTTAACAGTAAGTGCTTTTCCATCGACATACAAACCCGTGATTTGACTGACTTTTTCTTTAGAAGAAGGCCCTTCTGTATGAAGAGTGATACGTGACTGTGTTTAATGTATGACCTGTATGTAAGATCTGACTGTATTAAGAAATCTAGTATTCACATACAACTCCTGCCAAAAAAAGTTGAGTCTGAGAGAGCGTTTATGCTATTGCATGCAGTGAACTATTCTTGGACTGTTCAGTCAACTTGCAAATTGTTGGCGTAAGTTGTTCTCTTGAATACACAGAAATGAAGACTAAGGGCTTGTCTGCTCGCAAAGCTGTATCGTGTTGAACTGGGCAGATACAGCTACAAATGGTTATTCACCTTTTGTGTAGACACAATTGCTTGCCCTCATGGAAAGGTCTTTGTACTGTCCAACTTAGGGGGCTTCAGGGAGGAGGAGTACTGTGTACTGTGTTGTAGTACCCTTCTCACCACATTAAAGAGCGTAAGTATGGCAGCAATTTCAGTTAAAAGAAATCTCAGTTAAAATACTTTGCCAGAACTCCAACCATATAGACAAGATCAAAGAAAGAAAGAATAGAAAGTGATGGTGTTGATATAAAGCAATATAAGACTTGAATGTGCACTCTTCATCTACAGCAATAAGCCAACAAGTTGTAGTTAAGGAGTTGACAAAAAAAAGTCAGACGTCCATGTTCTGGCCCATAGTAAAGGAAGCGATGTCACTTACAGTAGCGGGTCTCTGTTGGGATACCTTCATAGGGTTGGAAACTGTGACAAGAAAATGAATAAATATCAAAATATTGAGAAATACCTAGTAATCAGAATAGAGCACCCTCTGGGTGAGTGAGCACCTTTCCCTGTGCAGAGCTGGAAGTCACGTCTGGGATCTGGCCCTTATTACAATGCAACAGCTGAAGGTTTTCTACCTAGACACTGCTCGTCACACCCTCAGCATCTTTTCACTAAAGGCCTGCCCGCCTTGAATGGAGCAGGGTGGCGAGTGTTAGCACCAAACCCACTTAACACATTTCCAGAGAAAGAAATAGGGTATGGTATTTCAGGAAAATATTTCCCATTTTTAACAAGCATAGTAACAACATATTTACACCAGTGGTCCTATACAGCCAGAAACATTTCCTTTAGTTTTAAAAGAAAAACCCTTTAATTGACATTGATGTTATTCACTAAAGCACCCATTTTGTGACCTACATTCTCCCTTTCCTTAAGCCCAATGTTTGTTGCTGCTCATCTTGCCTTTGCTATGCTAAAACCATAAAGCCTGCCAGGCAAATATCAAGTCTATCCATCCCTCTAGAGGACATTATAGTAAGAAGAATTAGCACCAAGCTGGGCAATTCTTAATGAACATGACAGAGAGGAGAAAGCAAGGAAAATAAATATAGCAAAATTTTAAATTATATTTATTTTGGAGAATGGGGGAAATGAACTGAAACTTATTTAACTCAATTAAAGATCTTGAAGAAGACAATATGAGGAATACCAGTCTTATCTGCAATACAGATGTCATTTAAAAGCAATCAAACATGGTCTGGGTGAGCATGTTTCGCAAGTGCACGATGTCCCACAGGGTCATTATAAAGCTCACAGCTTTGCTGCAAGGGGAACTGGGTGGAAGATGAAATTGGAGAGGGACGCTGGTTCTGGAGAGGAGGATCTGTGTGGGGAGCACTTGAACTGCATCTCCAGGAGGCCTTGCACCAGCATTTCTAAAACAAAACATGTCAGTTTAAAATCAGTCTTTTCAGTGAAAAGTCAGTGTAATGGAAAAAAAATAGAACTGAGAAATAAGAGCTTATCCTCCTCTTTTTTCACGGGATTTTACGTAGACGATTACAATGGCCGTTTTCCAAGCAGTCATCATCATGCGATGGAATTAGGTCTGAACTGCCAAGCTGGGATGCTCAGTCTGAGTCCTCTCTTCTTTGTACCTGCCAGATAAAAGCAGTGGACAATGGTCGGCCCCAAAAATCTTCAACGGCACGCCTCCATATTGAGTGGATAAAAAAACCTGCGCCCTCGCCCGTGCCCCTGACTTTTGATGAACCCTTTTACAACTTCACCGTCATGGAAAGCGATAAAGTGACAGAAATAGTCGGGGTGGTCTCTGTGCAGCCATCTAACATTCCTCTCTGGTTTGATATTGTCGGTAAGTTGGGAGCCAGTGGTGTGAGAAGGACGCTTCAGAAGCAAAGCATATGGATGTGTGGTTTTGAGAGCAAGAAAACTAACTACAAACTGTCCCCCCCCAAATTGAACCCACTTTTGTAATGCTGAAATGAAAACGCTATTTTAATATAGCAATAACAATAATAATAATATTCCTGCTTTTGTTATGACTCTTTAGCTAAGCTGAAAAAAGAGCGCTGTATGGCTGAATTGTTTTTTTCATACTATGTTATTTACTGCAATCTTAATGTTGTCTGTCATTTAAATTCTATTGTCATACTTTGCTAATCTCATTTCTAAATGTATTTATGGTACTTAGACTTGCTGTCCCTCATTTCTCTCTTTCTTCACCTTTTTTTCTGCATTCTGTTCTTTTTTTTCTGCTTCCGACTGCCCTGCTTCAAGGTGGCAAGCATGCTCGAGAGATGTTCTATATTCTACAGACAGCTTGTGGGCAGAACTGTTCAACAGAAGGTACCCTTAGTGCAAACACATTTGCTAAAATACAACTATCCAGGCTGCCTTTTATTTTTGCAAGTTCTTTGAGACAATTTATATTACATTTTTCATAAATGCCTGTGACAGGATGCGATGCGACACATGGATGTGCTGCGTTTCTTTCTATGACAGCTTTTACCGTATTTGTGTCCAATTATTATCATTTTATTCACGGATTTTCCGCAGTTTATCACAAATAATTAATTCAAACTTTTCACAGTCCAGTGCCATCCATTTAACTGTGAAACAGAATGGGATGCATCAACATATGGGTTACAAATGGAGCCACCAAAAGTTTGTCTTGAATGCAAGCTGAAAAAGAAATGTGTTTTGATGTGAGATTTCAACCACAAAATTGCCTTACATAAAATTGGTTATAAAAATAGGGAAGGAGACATATCCTTAGCAAAGAGGAGGAGAAGCCATAGAAATAATGGTCTTAAAATCGCAGGGAAATGCCACTAAGGATGTAGCTGCCAAAAAGACAAGGAGTAGAGAGGGTCTCACTTAGTTGCAATGGAGAAACAGGAGTCAATGTTCCTAAGCATTTCCTCCCTGCTTCTGCTGCTGATTCAGTTATATCATTTAATATAACTCGTTTAACAGCTACAAAATGAGATGTTCCCCAGCAGCACGACGACCCTGCAAAGTTACTGTGCTACTTAATATTTGCAGGTACTTGTACATAATGTTTGTATACCTTTGGGTGTAAAACACTGTGTCTGCACAAAGTGGTGTTGTTTAAATGAAGGGTTTTAAAGCAAATACTGTATGAAAGATTAGAGAAACAAAAAGCCTTTGCCACAGACTTAGTGGAAAGGGTGCATCAGCAGTCTTTATTTACAGGGATTGAGCCTGGCTGTCATTTCAGCGTAGCTATTTGTGGATGGGTTTAGCCAACAGGAAGGACAAGGACCACAAGAGAAAGGGTCTGTCAGAGTCATTTTCATCCACCTTTTATTGCCAATTTGAAATATTGAAAGACAGAAGCAGCAACATTTCCTCTTTGAATTTGTGGCACGGTTTTTGATGTGACAACCACGTTAAAATCAAACCCAAATCTGTTATCACGTTCTGGGGTTCCTGCTAGCCCCTGGGGAAGGACAGTACATGTTCCCTACAGTTTTCCTCCCATTCCCTTGGTTGTTTCAGTATGCTACATGCAATTTATTAGCTATTGTTTACACTCCCTTTCTCTTCCTCACTGACCCTAACTTTCCTCCTGGGAGAGATCCATCTTTATTGATGTTATTGCCACTTTTTTCCCATTTGAACCTTTTGCCGGACTCCTCTGCCTTTCACAGCCTTTTGGTCCTTTCCTTGGTGAATTCACCAACTCTTATTAAAATGCTGCCTCTATTAAGCACTGAGAGAAGCCCCTGCTCTTCCGCTGCATTCTTTTACATTATTAGAGTTACTTGCAATCAAACAACATCTTATAATAATATTTCATTTTTGCCTACCAAACAGAGATGATGGGGAGAGCATTATGAAATTTAAGCCTTCAATTTGTCATTTAATGTGACCTTTATGGCTAAAATAGTTCAAATTGTTTAGAAGATTTTTGCTATTTAAACAACTCTAATAGTTTCCCTATAGGCTGTAGCTCCTGATGCTGCAAGATGCTGCATCACTGCAGAGGGTCATGGAGACAGAGCCTCCCTAGACTTAATGAGAAATCAGTGACCCTGACCGTCCAGTTCACTACTGTTACCATATGGATGTTGTCATTAAATATTACTGCTGTTACAAATAATAGCACTAGCAACAGCACCCATTTCTGCAATAGGAATAGCCAACAGTCCCAGGCATGCAGAAGACCCTGTTGTTCCAGATGCTCTGCATACAAGATGCAAAGACAAAAGCCACCCTTAGAGGTTTATATACAGAGCACTGTATATTTAGATTATCTTTGCTGCCCTTTAGTCAGTGTCACTATCAAAAAACACTTTTTCTCCTTGTTCCTCAATATCATCATGTGGAAAAAAAAGAAGTTGATACTTTCCTTTTGGGGGAACATTGAGGTCTAGTGCTGAAAAGCCCAATGAAAGGCATGGGTTATTAGGAGAAGTTAGTTGTCACGTATGGAAAGCTGTATGGGACTGCTGATGCAAGAGATGGTTCCTGTGCTGCTGTAAAACCTAGACTTGAACCTGCTCCATCTGGTATTTTGTGATTTTGAACCTTGGTGCACAGTTCATAGTAACGTCAACAAAAGCCCTGAAGGCTTATGTAGAGGCATGGTTTAATACAGAGTTTGCAGCTTGACCTTTATGTTTATGACCTTTTCAAACTAAATGGGCATTGGAATTCCAAAGCACCTCTTTTTAAATGCGTAACATGCACTTTCTCCCAGCTAAAAAAATGGAGGGAGGGCAGATGAAGTTTGGCTATGCTGTCTGCCTAACTTCAGCATCTAATTTGCGCCTAAATTATATCCGCTTTAAGTAAGTGTTTAAGTTCCTGAGTTAATCAGCTCCAAGAGAGGAAGGTGCCTTGCAGGCAGGGACATCATCTTCCCTCCATGGACTAGAGAGGAATGGGATACATATCTGTTTGTTTATTTGTTTGTTTGTTTAATTGGGAATGGTTGCGATGTCATACCTGGTTTCTGTTTTCAGACTGCATTCAACGCCATTCTCAGTTCATGCAGATCTCACAATGTGAAGGACATGAACATAGGTTGTTTCAGTTGTGTTAAATTTATTCTGTCATTTATAAGAAACTAATTTTTGATGCGAACTCCAAAATAAGTCAGAGATCTTTATCTCTCCCAGGTAAATTGAGCCCTCTCTGTCTCTTCTTTTGTTAGTGGTGGGAATGGTGTGGTGACTACTTTGACACTGGAGCTAAGTTGCATGGTGCTAGTTTTTGCTTAAGTAGCATGTTGCACAACATCTCTGTGATTCTCCAAACAGGCCTCTCTCTATCTTTCTTTCTTCCCCCAGCCTATGCCTTTATAAGAGCAGCCAAACTTTAAAAGCACGACAGAACTTTTTATCAAGGGTGCTTAATGGCAACAATTTTAATATCTTTAATTTTAATTAATTCTCCTTTTAATTCACAGTGCTGCAAATTTTCATTAATGTCGAAAACATGTAGCTCCCTAGCCTCCTTTGAATTATCTTCTCTGACAACTATCTAAAATAGCTTTCTGATTTCTTTTCTGCTTTTTTATGCCCTTACCTTCAGCTTCTTAGCAGCAAACCCAAGGCTTTGACTCTCCTTAAAATAGTTTTATCTGAAAATTCAGTCTGCGTTATTTTCTTCTTCTTAGCATGATATAGTACATAAAAGAATAAATATTTGCATGTCATGTTACTAATATTTATGATGTTATGATTAACAAAAGCCTGTAGTTGAATTTGTATTTCTCAAGACAGTTGCTAAGTTTATTTAATCTTTTTTGAAAACAGAAAAATTGGAAATTTTGGCTTTGCTTCTTTTCCTGAAAATAGTGGCACTTTAGACTCACTTTTGAGTTTCAGGGTGATAATTTTCTGCATTTTCCTCTGATTGTCTGCTCTGAGCAATGTGAGAATTGTAGCAATTGGCCTAATTTATCATCCCTCTCCTTGGTGTTGTTAGTTTAGTTTGGGACAAGACAAGTAAGAATCTTCTCTGCCCTGAGAAAATGTGTTTTTGAGGACTATTCTCTAAATTAGATCATCTCCTGTATTTCTGTTCTTCTCCACTTGTCCATCATGGCATGGTAGGCCAAATGAGACTTGTGTGAGGATCTCAGTATATCCTGGCTTTGTTAAGTTTGAACATGGAGCATGTGTGTTCTTTCCTATTTACCAGTGAAGGAAGACTCTTGCCAGATTTTAGCTGTATTTGATTTGGGGATGTCCTCCCAGAGTTCAGTGTGATCCATCTTTGCATCAAAGACTGAACAAGTCCGATTCTCCACAGTCATCAGATATTTCTAAGATGCATATGCAATCCCACTATTCTGGATCGTTCCACTGGAAAAGAGGGGAAAAGGCCCTCACATGGGATTCATTTGCCTACAAGTCCTCCAGATTTGCTGACCTGTTTTCTTCTCAGAGGAGAAAATAATTTCTCACAGCAGCATAATCCCATCTTAAACTGCATATCAGCAGCTGATAGGAACATAGGGAGGCTCATTGTCTTCCCAAAAAGGAATCCCATCTAGGAAGAGCACTATGAAAAAATATTCATTGCTTGCAGCAAATGCAATAGTCAAAATATAAGCGGAATGTGCTTGAAAATAAAAAAACCAACACTGAAATTCAAAAGGGATGGAGATGCAGAGCCCACATTCTGTGGGAATGCAAGTTCTGCGTTTTATCTTGCTTTAGGCAAATTCTCTAGCTGACCTCTAGAAACCTCTTTAAACAGTTCAGGAAGTTTTCCTTGGCCTGTCCATTGCACCATATGAGTGGTAAGCTTTACATCAGAAGATCATCTCCTGTTAGTCATGTAAGGTTCAGTGTTTGGATTTGGTTTTAATCTATCTTTTTTATTAAAAGGAGAATTAATTCTTTCCAAAGCATACAGGACTTTTGTCAGAAGAAAAATACGTTCATAGTGACTATGAAGCCAAGAAACAAGCTAAGAACAAAGGTAACATTCCAGATTCAGCCAGAAAATGTAACCAGGGCTACTCTATACCAAGAACACAACCTATAGTCTGTTGGCTCAGAGGTGTCTCTGTTCAATTTCCCGAGATCTCCTTGACCATACTAGAGCATCTCTTAAATTGAAAGTTAGGGCTGTTCTAGAAAGGTCTCACAAAGCTGGAGTGAGGGCCAACTAATAAGATCTTTTGTACCAGAGGCTGTTTCTACAGCCGTCCTGAGTTTGATAACAGCTGGAATTGGGTAGAGTTATATTGGAAAATCCTATATAAACTATAACATGCTTTCAGATAACATAAAAAAAAATTCCTAGTTGTAGAAATATAATGCTTCCAGGGCTTATGCAAGAGCATTAAGTTCAATCTCAAGAAAGTAAGGGTGGAAATCATCTCACTTAACTTTAGGTGTCCAAAGTTAAAATTGGCACAGATTTTCTGTGCTAGGTGTCTTCGGGAATCTTAACAGTCAATTAGAGAGAAAAAGCATTTTCTGGATGAATTTATGTCATCCTAACATGATAAATCTTCTCATCCAAAGATGGCATTGCAAGTAGATGTGGACTTTTCATGAAATCCCACTCTAAGTGCTTCAGTTTAATCAGAGTATTTTAAGGGAGGTCTTTAATCTGTATTGAAGATGTATCAGCATTATGTCTTCGCCCGCAATGGTATTACAAACAATGGCTAATCCACATCTTTCTGAGGTCATTCAGTGTTAAAATGCTTTCTCAGGACAACCTGTCTAGCCAACTTGCCGGTTCAGTCATCTTGCCTTCTTTATTTTTGATTTTCCCAAAGTGCCCGAGGAACTCACAATGTATTATCTTCATTTGAAATATTTCTTTCCTAATGCAATTGCAAGCACATTAGCAAAGACAGCTTCTACATATCTTGTATCTGAAAGCAGGTTTTAGTAGACAATAAAAAGGAAAGCATGTGCCATATGTTGGAAAATGGAATAAGTAATAAAAATTCACATTAATAAAACTGAGCAGCTGAACAAAATTTCATCATCCTTAGTCCCCTTTCATCCTAAGATCGTGATCAAAGAAAATGTTAAATGGCCGACAGTAACATTGGTAAAACTGATACTGCGGGAGCTTACAGCACTGCAGATGAGCTCGCTTCAAAAGGGCTGGTAGTTACCCAGCAGCATGCTTTCGAAAAGCAGCCTCAAGTACCCCAGAAACGTGTGAAGCTGACACCTTCTCAACTGTCACCTCCTACGGGCTCAGCCCTCCAACCTCAACACGAGCACCTTCGGAAGGAAGTGGTTTCACGTGGAGTTCCCAGAATAGTTCAGCTCCAGGAGTTTTTAAGAGAAGAGTCCTGTTTGTTTTTACACAAGAACGTTCTCTCTCTCTCTGTGTCCCTCCAGCACCCGTCTAGCAAAGATAATTGTGTTGGGTGCTTCGTAGCAGGCCTTGCATAGACTTAACACATCTGTAAGAAGAGTTTAGCATTTATACCTAATCATTAATGATTCTTCAGTGCTTAAGAGCAACTTCAGAAGCATTCAACATACGAAGACCTGTTTTAGGGTATATGAAGGCCGAGGAGCAGTGCAAAGCATTTCCAGACTGCCTCTAGTACTCCCGATGAGAGGCAGGACCCAGTATCTCAGGTAATACTCCCAGATGTTCAGCCATCTGAGTGGTTCTTCACCTGACCATGGTCTGTTAAAATGTACCAGACTGAATCTGGAATAAATCAGGATTTCACTCCAAAAGAGATTATGATCACAAATCTCACAGCAGGACGTTCTCTGAGCCATCTCTGTCTCAGTGTTTGATGCAGTTTCTGCCTTGTTTAATAGAAAATGAATCAATGTAAAATAAAGTGCATTGCCTGGTTAGTTACAAGTGTAGTCCAGATTGGGATGGCTGGCAACCAAGATTTATTTGTTTGTCACTAGACCATTTTGGAAGATGTGAATAACATATAAAAAACTCCTATGATGGATTCAGTTCCTACTTTAGGGGAAGAATATACTCCATTTAATGAAAATGTCTTGAAGAAGTCAGTGTATTTGCAATACACTACATAGTGCCCTGCACCCCAGCTCTAAGCCAACAGGGGAAGAGTATTTAAAACATTTATGGCTAATCCTTCCATGTTACTTCTTGGAAGTTTTAAAGGCAGGGTTTCTTTGGAAGCGTATGCCAGTTGATAGCATATAATTTTTGATTGCTCATTAAGATGGTTATTAAGCATCTTGAAGTATAGACTTTCATGTTGTTTTCATGGTTATGAAACATTCTCTTTGTAAAGTGCCTACTGTCCCAAGGCTAGCTTCATTTCAGCAGAGATTTCCTTGCAAGAATCTCAAACCCTTTTCTTCAAAGGAGGCTTTTTTTCAGAGTTGTTTTTCATGGTATGATTTTTCTCAAGTAAATCAATTTAAAACATTAATTGGGAGACTGCATCTTTTTCTTCCAGACTAACTTTAAAAAAAAAAAAAAATCAAACACTGAAGATATGATCAATGTCCAAATACCTTGCTATTGCTTAAATGTCAAGGACAATTATGCTTTTTTTTTCTAGTGTCAAATAGTGTTAACTATATAACTATATATCTATTGAGAAAAATACGCAGTTTGGGCTTGCAGAAAGAGGTTAGGGAGTAAGCAATGTTTCTATCCACTATAAATCACAGTAGATCCAGTGTCAGGGTTTTCCTGGAAAACCACAATGCATCTATTAGGCTCAGAGCTGTATATATGTACATATATATATATTCAGCAGAGGGAAGTCTGATGGCACATCTGAAACAACTACGTTTGGATCATTTCAGTGGGCAGACATTCACCAATCCTGCCTTTTCTTTGCATAGGACACCCGCGCTCTTATTCCTCCTGCCCCTTTCCTCTCCCCATCCCTGAATGGCCTGCAAGGCAGATACGGACAGTGCTTCTTCTAACTTACACTTTCTTTACAATAGCCTGTGCAAGAGGTAGAGACAAGTGAGAAGTGAGGGTTTCTTCACATTAAGGAATTCAGGGGATGCGATTTCATGTGATTCCTCCTAATCTTCAACTTCTTGGAATGCCAAAACCTTTTTCCTCTCACTAAATGCATGAGTGTTTCTGAGAATAATACCAGTTGTTGGTCAGCAAACCATGCCAGATGCAAGGCTTGGTGGTAGAGCAAGGAAGACTGTCCTCTTCGTTCCTCTGTCCCCAGCCCTAAAATGAGAGCCATTTTGTGATAATACACCAGCCATTCAAATATAAATCTCTCTATATATATTGCATGAGAGCTAAGTCAATGGAACGGATGTTTTTCTACCTGTGGATCTAATCTCAGGAGGTCTGAGCAGCTCGTACACAAGTTTTATAACCAGTGGGGTTTGAAAGCCTTTTCTGCTTTGTAGAACTGGGTTGTCAGAGACTGTAGCTAGTGGCATCGCATTGCTGTGTGATGAATATACCTTAAGAGTTCGTTTGTCAGCAGTGTTGTGTTCCACCTCTCCCTGTCCCCAGCCTCCACAAATTTCAGACTCATCTCATAATAAATTCCACTTTATAGATGAGTGAGTAAGAAGCAGCTTAGCAGCAGGGAGTGTGTGCTTTACTTTTGAACATAATGAGTGATTCTAATTTATAAACTATAGCTATGGCTGAGAAATCCTGTAACCCTTTAATCTGAAATTATTTATGGTTTTCCCTTACTTTTTAATAGATTTTTTTTTTCTTTTTCCTTTTTTTTCTTTCACCTGAGGCTCAGGAGGGTTTTCCCACTGCTGCATCGTTCAGTGTGTGACAGGATAAGGGGATATTAGTTTCAGAACAGTGCTTTGTGAGGGTTTTTTTAATGGAAAGGAATTTAGGATGTGTATCCTGTCAGATCTATTTGAATAATTCCTAAAAGACTAGTAGAATTTAACCTTTGCTGACAGTAATTATCATTGTCCTTGAAATTAACATAACAAATCTCTATTTGCATTTTTAAAATTGATTATAATTGTAATTTTTAAAGACTCAGTTGACGGTCTTTGCACCCACGAGCATCAGTGAGAATTTCCTGAAAATAAAATTTGCAGTATAAAACCCTCTTAAAATAATTTTTATACAAAAAGATAATTGTGCTTGTTCATTATCTAAACTACAAGGGCACACATCTTATGGGCTTATAGCCATTTGATTCTTTTTATAGACTCAGTTATGGTTCACTTAAATATACTGCTAGATTTTTTTTCTTGCAGTGCATTTTAATGATATCTGCTTTCCAATATACAAACTGTGCTTTGAAATATAAATGAGTTACGAACAAAGAAGTATCAGTAGATGTACTGTGTATGCTAAGGCAAGCCGTTAAGATGGATGCCAGTAAAGAGATATGCCCACTTCTAGGAACATTTTCAATGGAAATTTTCCAAAGATGGCTAATTTAATTGTATTTTTGTGCAACAATTAGGAGGGAATTACGATAGTTCTTTCGACGCGGAGAAGGGAGTGGGCACTATTGTCATTGCAAAGCCCTTGGATGCAGAGCAGAGGTCAATATATAATATGACTGTGGAGGTCACCGATGGAACAAACATTGCCACGACTCAGGTAGAATATCACATTCCTTTCTTGGCAAGTTTTTAATTTGTTAGTGGAACGTATATGCTATAAAAATTAATAATTTTGCCGTTCAAATAAAACCTCATCCTTTGAGACCACCGTTAACTAATGGAGGGGATATTTTTCAGAGCCTTTCCATCTGGTTGTAAAGAATTGGCTGTTGAAGGTTTCAAAGCCTTATTTCTCCTTTTGTCCTATTCGTGCTCACAGGAAAGTAATTTGCCTTCCTTCAGCTGAGGAGGTCCCTATCACAGGCGGCGAAGCTTAGATTTTGACAATTGTACCACCCTGTAATGGTCCAAAATACAATAGTGCTTCTGTGCTGTTGGGGAATATTGCTATTGATTATATTAAATGGAGTTTACACCTCTCATCCTCCCAAGACCCAAATGTGGGACACAGGATCAATTGTTGAGAGAAGAAATTGTTCAGAGGCGAAACTTAAAATTCAGAGGATCTCTCCTTTCGTGTCACTGCCTGCGATGACATTGTCTTCTGGGGAACAGCCCCAGTGAACCCCTTAAAACCAGGCTTGCTTATCAGGCTCAGTGCCTTTTAGTAATTAAAAAGTCAGGTCAGATAAACATGAAGGGCTGGGATAATGCTGGCTCTGACACATCCTTGTCGGAGAGACCCTGACGCAGAGCCTGGGTATCTGTTTGGTGGGAACCAGTCTGGGGTTGGAACATGGTCAGGGTCATGGTACAGTGACAGAGACTCTGTGGTCCAGGTGGAACCAGGGAGACTCCAAAGAACAAATCCTTCAATACGAGGGGCAGTTGTGGGGTCCGGATTAGCTAGGGCCTGAAATCCTACATCTGAATTACTGCCCAAGTGTAAAGTGCGCCTATAGCCTGAATATTATTTGACCCATAGGGAAAAATACATACTGGTAGAGGACACCTGTGTGCATCCTCAGATCCCAGATTAAATGTGGTTTCTAGAGAAAATGAAAAAAATAGGTTTGTGATGTTATCTGCTTCTTTATAATGCAGAAGGAAGGCCTTAACATTTTTTATATTTACATATATGCATGCACACGCAGATGCTTCTGTTTTACCTTGCCTTTTTGCTCAAATGGTTCAGATGTAAATCTGTATTCACTGAGTCACAACACCAACTTTCCTAAGAGACTGTTAAATCATTGATTGCTTTCTCAATCTGAATTTCTGTTTATAACCAGCCCTCAAATCTCTAAGTATCCCTATCTGATAATTTCTCCTGATAATCCACTCTTGATAAGAAAACATCATTTGATAGTAAATTAGGTGGTAGGAAATCTGCTATTTACCCTGTTAGTTTTCAGTAATAAATTACATTTCTGCTAAAAACATCCCTTATTTTTAACTTGATTATATCTGGCCTATATTCCCTGTTATGCCTTTCTCTGCTCGATTAAAGAGCTCTTTAAAAACCAATATTTTCTCCCCAGGAGGGCACTTACTCAGAATAGTCAAATCACCTCCCAGTCTTCTGATAGAAAAGTGAAGGAGAATGACTGACCTCTTTATGCTCCCTTTCCATAAAGCATTTTCCTCAGCCCTTGAGTAGTTTTTTGTTTTGCTTTGTTTTTTAATCTTGGCAACACTCTCAGTCCACATTTCAGAAATGTAGTCTTGAATCCCTAACGCGACATTTTTTTTTCTTGCTAACATTTCAGCCAAACAAATATTTAAAAGCACAGGGAATTTCAAACATGCTGGATACAAGGAATTTCTCTTCTCATGGATATTATGTTTATTGTTTTTGCTGCTTTTGCTTTAATAAATTGACCCCATGACAGTCCTCAAAACCTATTTTGGTGAAAACCCTACATTTTTAACTAAAACATATGGTAAAAACATATTTCAGTAAAGCTGTTGCATTCTAAAAGAAGCCTGAGCATTCTTTGTAACAGTGATGTGACCTATTTAAAAATGTAAGATAGTCATTTAAGATTGCAGTAGTACAGCATTAGATAATCATTGGTGGGTACGGACCCTTCTTTCCTCCACCTCCTTCTCTCCATGTGGAAACTGTTGAAGTATTTAACTATGGCCCAGACAACATCTGAGAATGTGTTTCTTTTGGTCTTCACAACAGAGATTTCAAAAGTGATCATTATCTCAAAGCTGCCAGTATTATGGCCTGCCTAATTATCTCTCCCTTTTACAAAACTTTCATACTGAATTTTTGACTGTACTTTGGAGCCTTTGGTTACCTTATATATCTTTATTTCCTTTTAGAACAATAATAAAAAACCAAACTGATAGGTTAAGTTAAATATGTCATAGAAAGAGTGAAAAAAGTATCTACTAATGGCTCTCAGTGGCCTTGTTCTGAGTTTTGATAAAATGACATTGTAAGTACTTTGTCTCATATACGTAGTACCACCTGCATTTTTAACTATAGCTGCAAGAAGATATGGTAGAAGAGGAAGCAGGTGGAAAGCAAATGTATAAATTCATCCCCTCGAATAACAATAAAGTAATATAAAGCCCCCCTCAAAGTGCAGCGGTTTATTATGAAACAGCTGATCATCACCATGCCAAATGGAACAGTCTTGCTTTTTATTCCACCGCACCTGTTTCCCTTTATCTCTTCCTGGACTTTTGTCTATTACACAGTTGGAGGTGGTAAAATACAGCGTAAAAATGCCAAAGATTTTTGCTTCGGTAACATGATCCCTGGCGCGGACTTGGAGAAGTTTCTTCAGCAATGCTCCTGCACGCCTTAAACTCCAATAAACTGTTCACTTCCTTCATGCCTTACTGTGCACATGGTTCACTACCGTACCATGAGAGGAAGGAAATAATTTTGATTTAAAAGTTACATCTGTTGTATTAACAGTTCACTGTTATGAAAAGAGGCGAAAAGAACATTAGGAATAGTTAAAAAAAAGTCACAAACTTCCTTTGGACCTGAAAGCCTATTTGGTTTGGGCACGATCAGGGTTTCAAAAAGGAATACAGTCTCCGAAGTGAGAACCAAAGCGTCGGGACTTGTTGAGCCGCTGCCACTCACCGTGCGGCCCGTCCAGCTGAGCCCCAGCCATCCCGGCAACACAGCCATGATGGGGAGGCATGGAGGGGGCAAAAGACGAAGAAACGTTGACTCGTTTGATTTATATATTTGGAGTGTGGGTATAAGGCTTCTGTCATGTTGATTAACTTCTAGGAAGGCTAAGTCCCTTGACTTAGCCAGGGAGACCTTTTGGATTTTTTTTCCCTTTGCTTAATTCATCATTGCTCAAGGCCACGCGGTGATTTATTAAAGGCTGAAGGCGTACGTTGGCTCTAAATCCCTGAGAAACGCGATTCCTGCAGCTGCCAGGGGAGCTGTTGGCCTCGGGGAGGGACAGGCCTTCTGCATCCCACGCTGGAGAGAGCCGGGACAGGTCTTGAGCCCTTGCTTGAGCGGAGAGAGGACTCTCCCAGCAAGAAATCGGCGTAATGGCATGTAAATGCGTACTCCTGCCACAATTTTGACTAACTTTGACTCTGTAACATTAGAGGTTCTCTTGGTCATCAGTCAGGTTTATCCCAATGCCTCCTTTTTTTTACTGAACAGCTCAGATCCTTTGCATCCAAGCACAACATAGGAATAGCATTTATTTATTTCTTTGTAGTGCATACTGTTGAGTTTGCTAAAACACCCACAGAAGTACAGTACAGTGGGGAACAATCATCTAAGCGATGGTAAATTTTCACTTTTATTGAGAATGTTGTACTAGAGGATAATTATCTTTTTTAAGAACAGACTCCTGGAGTTGTGGTATTATACGAAAAAGACAGTTTTACTTCTTCCTTATTTTCTTGCCTTCTCCTTATTTCTCATCGTCCTAACTGCTGTAACAAAGATGCTTTAAACCATGAAGGCTGATGCTTCCAAGTTAGGAGGCAAAAAGTGCCTCAGTTTCACTTATTGCAAAACCATCTCACTGTTGCCCAGTGGAGCGGATACTCAGAGAGCAGCAAGCAGTTCCCTCTGAAAAGTTTTTGTAGATCAATACATGGTCGCTTGAAATACCTTCAGTTGGAGCCAACCAGGCTGGAAGAGCAGACAACAGAAGTTACTGCTCGTTGCCCCTTTCTGTCTTTCCTTGCAGAAGGTTCTGGACTTTTATTTATTCTTCAGCTCAGGATTGACCTTTAGCTGCAAGTTTCACGGTACCAAACTTGGCCTCACCTTTCAAAGAACACCTTTTCTTTATAAGATTGTTTCTTAACAGAGGAGCTGATCAATCATCCCAAGTGGGGGTGGTTCTTTTAACGGAAAGGTGAAAAGCTCTTCTTAGAGGACCATGGCCAAAATGTAGCTAAGACATTAGAGCCTGCCAGAAGAGGTTCTGGGCTGTGGATTCTTCTTGGATGGACAAGAAGACATGAGGTTTCCATTCAATTTTTCACTTTTGCCTAGTTGAACGTTTCCTCTGAACTAGAACCAACCCATCCCTGGTTTGGTTGGGGTTTTTTTCTGTCCCATTCAGCGATCTCAGCACTGCCTTGCCTGTGAAACAAAGACTTTTCCCCACATTTTAACATAACACAAGGGGCACAGTAAGGTATAAATAACAGGCCACTGAGGTTGGTAGGGAAACTGTTTGCATTTTTATGTTAAGTTTGGGGTTTGGAGGAGAGAAGAACTTGTCAGGAAGTAGCAAATAAAGCTGTGTGGTAACACTATTGAAAGCAATATTAAATCAAAATAGGTTTTCAAAACCCGTACAAAAGCGTAACCTGAGTTTAAGCAATTCAGGCACTTAATAGGTTGTACTACAACACTGTGCCCAGACCAAGCAATTAGCCAAGCAGATTCTTCCAGCTTCAAATGTCTCTAAAGCAGCTCCTGGCATTTATCCAGTTTTCACTCAAATACGTTTGTGCCTAAACCAAAGGTATTTGTGATGGGCAACATTAAAAACAGCTTTGGAGAGACTTCCTGCATTAGGTTTTGTTCTCCTTTGATTTGATTGTATTTCTCTAGGCCTTTCACTTACCATTTTGAATACAAAGTCTTTGGTAATGCTCCGAGTGCTACTTTGCCTAATTTGTAAGCTTGGAGGCCCGTGAATCCTTTATTTGAAACTTGCTTTAACTGTGGGAAATAGGAAGTGAGCAGGGAGAAGCAAATCTTTTATAGTGAGGAGCTTTTCAGACTATAAATTAGGCTCTGCACAATGGAAGCAAAAGGAAGCAAGCCTGCCTTTCTGAAGCCTGTGATGCGCTGGAAGAGATATGAGCTTTCAAGGATAACCAGGCAGAGACTGCTTTGCTGCTTGTTTGCTTTATGAGCATGGAAGAAAGACTTGCAGCTAATGTTTGTCTACGAAAAGTGGTTTAGTCGGTAACCTTGCACAGTCCTCAGCAAAGAGGAATCCCTACTTAGCAGCAAACAAATAGTAAACATTTCCATTTGTCACCTTTTGGAGATGCGTTGGGAAACTTTTAAAGCCTTCTTTGATTTTGCACAATGGGTATTGTCACAGCTTAACACCCCAGGCACCTACGCAGTAATAAATGATATTTATACAACACAGCTCATTCTTGCCATATCTTCCGTTTGGAAATAAATATGAAGAAAGTATTAAATTACACATGCACTGTTAGTCTTTGAGTTGCTTCAGTAGGCTAACACTTGATTTGGGGTGAAAGACATGCTACAGGCTGGCTAAAGCTTAAGGCTTCAAGGAGCAGAGTGCTGGCCCTTTTGAAGTCAATGGGAAATTTGCCAGTAGTACCAAGATTTTATGCCTAAGTTTGGCAGCCGTTAAATGAATTTGAGTAACTTTCCTCATATTAACGATCTGGTGGCATTCAGCTTTCTCAACTTAACATATGCTTGTAGGATCAGGTTTTATATGAGCCTGGTGTTCATGTCAGTGTAGCATTTGTCTGTTATTAAAGGAAAAGATTGCCCCCTCTTTTTAAGTAACACCTTACTAGAAGTCATCCTGCTGGAGCAGGAAATCTTCTGCATAGGAGGGTGGCATTTTAAGGCGACCTAATAAAAGGGAGGTGGCTCAAAAATAAACCTAAAACATCTTCCTCAGCTTTGCCACTGCACTTCTTGTGTGGCTTTGGTGAGTCATTTAACCTTGCTTCAAAGCAGTGAGTTCCTGGGCAAAGGATGGGAATAATAATAGTCACTTGCTCCTAAAAAATGTTGTAAGAATTGAGGGTTTAATATTTAAAATTGCACTTAAGTTCCATTTTATTTTACCTGACTTTGTTTCAAGTAGCTCCCAAGACAGTTACATTTTTAAGAACATAAAAGTGTTCCATTTTCTCCTTTTCCATAGTTCGTGTGTTTAACAGAGCTCTATATGATCAGTATTCCCATATATAATCTAACTTTCTTTTGCTGCAAGGAAAATCCAGCCCCCTCTAGTAAAGGAGAGACCATAATGTTAAAATTACAGTTGACTCTCGGGGATTTTGAGGGACAGCTGACAAAAATTAGAAATACTCTTAACTGCTTTAATAGAAGAAATTGTGAATCAATAATGACCTCTTTATTCATTACATCTCTAACCCACCACCTTCCAGCTCCAGATGGAAGTGGCTGTTGAAATGCAGAGTATGTAATAAATAATGCGTATTTCAATGGGGATCACTTGACAAATCATTAAAATACTGTCATCTCTGGGGAGGAAGATGCCTGCCACTTAAACAGGCACTTGATCAGTTTTACAGCAGATATGAAGTGAAAGAAAAAAAGAAAAGAAGTAGTTCTTTTGTCAAAAATATCAAAGCAATTTTAGGTGCATAGCTCCCTGTAAGTTTGATGACCACAGTGAATGAGGACCTCAATTTTTTTATCTTTTCCCCTCTCCATGCCTCCCACTCCCCAAGCACCATCATGGTCCATATCTGTGTGTCACGGCCTTATCTTCTATCTTTTTCAGTGGGCAGAAATGCTGCTGTGTGAATCCACACTATAATTTCCATAGTCTCATGGCTTACCCTCGGTCTCTGATGCTGATCCAGTCCCACCCTGTTTAGTTTATGCAGTCTAGTGAAGGCGTAAATCACAGAGCTGTGACTTGCACAGTCACGCTGCAAGCTTTGTGGTGGATAAACCTTTATGCCCTCCTCTGCTTTCGCAATTTGCCAGTGAACCCAAAATGCATTAGATATAATGGAAATTGAACCCCAGCACTGGGGTGATCACACACCATACAAACAAAACAGCATGTCACCGCTGTAGCAGTACCTTTAAGACACATTGGCGTGCATCTGTACATTTTTTTTTCTTTTTCTTACAGAATAGCTTGAGCTTGCACACATCAGTGTTAAAAACAAATTCACAGATAGGAGCCCGTCCCTCACATGGCAGCTTACTTGTTCCAAGGTAGACTGTGCTGTACTAGCATCAGCAGAATCAAACATTCTTGGTATTCTCAAACTAATCCATTTGAAAAGTTCTTACTTCTCTGTTAGACTAACTAAAATGATACATGACAAAGTTTTTGGCCACTAACTAAAAGTAAAATTAATTGTGGTGCTGTCTGTGTTAATGATGCACCAGTAAAATAGTCCAGCCATGTTACAGTGGTACCTGGCAAGGACTGAGGGTGTCAAAACTGCTTGAGAAGATACCTTTAAGTATTAAACACTGGAAATCAGATTATCCCCAACTCATACTGCTTCAGCGTCTTTTCCTTACACTAAGAAAATTGGTTCAGCACTGGCTCTGTGTCCCATTAGAGTAGAGTTGAAGTCTTTCATTTTTTCCTCGGGCTTTCTTTTATATGTTACAACTCATTTCTTCACACATTTTTCAGGTGTGGGTTTGGCTTTTTTTTTTTCCTCAGTCGGGTCAGGAACACACCTTGATGTATTGTATAGCAACAACAAAAATATAAAAAGCTAAGTAACTCTTCATCATTATTATGGGCCCAGCAATGTGTATTTCCCCCCAATTTTATTGCTATCTGTCCAAGACTGAAGCATAACTTAATATAGGCTTTGCCCTGCTTCACTCTGGCGTACCATAATCTGGTGAAAATTAAATCGTATGGAATGTGCAGTTGAAGTCCTATGCCATTTACCTTACAGAGCATTTTATTTCAGCTGTCTTTTAAACAGTTCCCAGGCTAGTTCATTACGACTGCTGCTTACAATTGCTCATGTTCCTTTCTGGTAATGTGTTCTGCAAACCCTTCCGCATATCATGGAAATCTAAAGTTTCATTTCTCTCTGAGGTCAACATCTGTTTGTGCAATACTGCAGTAAAAGTATAACTGTATTTTACTTCTGTTAAGAAAGTATGAGTGAACAGGGCTTGATCAAGCAAAATAATAAAATATTTGCTTAAAAAAAAGCCAAGTACTTTTCAGAACTACAAAGAAAATATCATGAGGATGGGTCAAGTCTCCTAATCTTAGGGAAGAGTCCTGTGCATGGCTTTTCCCATGCGGTTCATTGGAGTATTGCTTATTTCAAAGTCTGAATAAAAAGATTGTTCCATTTTACTCGCTGTAAAATTAGGTGTGCTTTCACAGGCATAGTCTGCAAAAGATATACTTTTTTTTCCCCAGTACTGAAAAAGAGGCCAGTCTTTGCATTTTGTTTTTCAGTATTAATGTAGGTTGTCAAGTGTTTTGCTGCCATGCTGCCCAAAGTAATCTACAGCATACAGAGTCTGGAAAGCAAATTTTCTCCAGGGAGTGAAAATGGTGAAAAATCTCCAATGGTGAAAAACACAAAACCTCATTGGAGCCACACACGCATAACATTGCATAGTCACATAACTTCCGAAAGGCAAACCTTGGAACACAGTGATTCTTATTAGTTACCAGGGTCAGCCTGTGATATATTGAAATGGGTGTAATAGGCAGCAACAGCAGCATCCAGGTTTCTTTAGGGATCAATACCGAGGTTTTAAAAGACAGACTTGAAGCAAATGGCACAGCGTTCAATCACATTTTTAGCAGAAGTTCTGCCGTTCATAAACTGCAACAGAAGGGAGGCAAATAGGTGTTCAAGGGGAAAGTGAATTAGTTGGCAATAAAGACAACCATCACTGGCAAAGGAAGAGCAAGGACAAAACCGTAAAAATAATCCTTCCCTGTGACCAGTGCCCTGAGATTACCCATCCTTGGTGGTATGTATTGATCTGTGTGGGGTGGGCTTGCATGGTCATGAGGTCATGTCTCCTGTTCTCGCCTCGTCAAGTGTCACCGTTCCTAACACAGCCTAAGGTGTAACAGCAACTTGAACTCTCCACTGCTGTCACGATTTGACACTGCTGGTATGTCCCAACGCAATAAATCAGGCAGAAAACAACACAGGATTTAGCCAAATCTTGATTATATAAAAAGCAGATTTAAGTAACATGAAAAGAATTCTTTAATAGCCTTATTAATAGTGAAGGGGAAAGGAAATCCCATAATAGCTCTAGAAGTCTCTTGTAACCAGAGCAGTTACAAGGGATGACAAAAACTTTGCTATGACCACTGTAGGAATATTTTCCAATCTATAGATACTGAAAATATTGGCTTCTTTGTCAGGCTCTGAGTAGGTCTTATAATTAGGAACATTTTGCCTTCAAAGTCATATCCTTACTATTTCTTTTGATCTGAACAGTAAGCATTTAATACTAAATGATGTTTCTCAGTCCCACCATACAGCAGCATAACATCATCAGCCATCTAAAGTAAATTACATTTCTCTAGATGCCTATTCAGTAATCTCACTAGACTTCAATAACTTAGATGTTTTTCTTTTATTAACTGTAGGTTCTTATCAAAGTGTTGGATAACAATGATAATGGCCCAGAATTCTCTCACCCGAGTTACGATGTCACCATTTCAGAGGACATCCTCCCTGATACTGAAATTCTGCAGATTGAAGCTATAGACAGAGACGAAAAGCATAAGTTGAGCTACACTATTCACAGCAGCATCGATACAGTCAGCGTGAGAAAATTCAGAATTGATCCCAGCACTGGGGTGCTCTATACTGCTGAGAGATTAGACCACGAAGCTCAAGATAAGCACATCCTTAATGTCATGGTAAGAATGCAATATTCACTTGGCTCAGGACACAATCACTGCTGCTTCAGGTGTATACGTGCCTTAGTCTTTGCATGAGCAAAGGATTCTTAGTGCAGTAAGTAGTTATTAATTTCATCTTGGCTTCCCTGCTGTGTATTTATTTTACATTTTATTTGGGCTTTTTGGGAAACTTATTGTGAATTCATTGTATGGAATATGGTATGATTTGCTGTCTCAAGGGAGAGCAAGCAGGAAATTATTTAATCTTTTGGCATCTGGTCCTCTCACTCAAGGTAATTTTCAGAGTTTCTGAAGTGAGGCTGAAAGTTATTTGAGAAGTTACTCACAGGGAGATAACTGCTTTCTTGCCATAGAGAATGCTAGAGCCTTTCTGAATACAAGCTTCTTTTATAGTTTACTTTTACGGACTTATTTCAGTACATAAACTGTTGATATACAAAACAGCTTTCATCTACATTTCCAAATGTTTGGGTATGCAGAAAAAAAACTTAATTACCATTTTTTGCTCAGTGTGCCTAAATTACAGAACGTAAGTCTGTCTGTTTCCAAGTGAAGATTGTATGTTATGGACTGGAGGTTAATTAAAAAAAAAATCTGTGTTAGTTTAAACATTGCAGTCCACTATTTTCTTTACCCACTTAAGACTTCTGCAGAAGAGGTCTTTGAAGGAACAGCTCATGACGTGTTAGGTGCAGGGCCATCTTTGAGCGGGGGACCCTAGGAATCAGAGAGCTGCTGTGAGATCCAGCGAGCAGGAGCTGAGTGGGGTCTCAGCTCACAGAGTAACAAGCTGCAAGTCCTTTGGCGAGCAGGCTAAGAAATAAATACAAACTGAATCACAGAGAGACATGGCTGACAGAGGTCATTTCCTGGTGCTTGGTTTTGATCTCCACCTGATACAATAGAGTTTTTGGTCTATTTAAGAAGAACCAAACTTTGGGGGGATCGTGTTGGCAGGATTATCAGTGTAGCAGTGCTGAGGTATTTTGTATGGGGTTGAAAGAGGTGTGATAAATGATACCTCTGTTGGGAGTGCTCGGCACTTCTTAAGGTAATTCCCACTCTGTTTACTATTGGTATCATCATCTTCAAAAAGGTATGTACATATATAATGATAAAAAAGTCCATTGGCAGATACAAGCACTAGATTGACACACAACTAATCGTAGTGGGTAAAATTGTTCATAGGTCTTTGAAAGAAGGAGCAACAAGCAAGGTATATTTGCCTCTATTCTGCAAAGCAGGGAATGGCTGGGCAAAGGCATGACTATTTAGCACATATGAAAAAAAGTATTTCTTGCAAACCTAAAACCGAATTTAAGATGTCATGTGGTTACCACTTGAAAAATTCATGTCATGATAGTTAGTTGCGAAGCATTTTTTCAAAGTGAAAAAAAAAGTCCCTAATCTCTTCCTGTTTATTTTACTCTCTACCATCTCACGTCTGAATGTATTTTAGACTGTTTTTTGTGACAAATGGATTTTTTTATTACTTTGTATTAAATAGAACAGAAAGTATTATTAGCACTCAGATGAGTAATATTTATGAAGTATTGCTAGACGGATATTAAGATGTGTATTATGCACCTGTTCTTTAGGTTCGAGATCAAGAATTCCCTTATAGAAGAAACCTGGCCAGAGTCATCATAAATGTGGAAGACTCCAATGACCATAGTCCATACTTTACCAGCCCATTGTATGAAGCCTTGGTGTTTGAATCAGCAGCAGTTGGATCAGCAGTCTTACAGGTCACGGCTTTGGACAAAGACAAAGGGGAAAACGCAGAGCTTATCTACTCTATTGAAGCAGGTTAGGACAGGCTGAAAATGGAGCATCATGATTCCTGCCATACACAGAGCAGTGCTGTGACGGTGGTCCGTCTCGACACACAAGTCAACTTCATTGGTCTACCTTCTCCTGTAGGGCTGGGCAAAGGAGACACCTTCCTGTTGGTTGTTTTTTATTTTGAAACTGCTATAGCCAAAACCTGTCAGAACAGAATCTCATTCATGTTCACTAGATGGCTACAGAGCCTTTTACCTCTAAGTCATTGGTTCAAAACCATCACAGAAGTTATTGAAAGCTACAGCCAGTGTTTGTTCTCAGGTTGCTGGCTTCAGTCTAGTACACAGTGGATCCTCTATAAACAAATGCCACACCAGCTGGTATGTCCTGGCATCTTTGCCAGTATTTGGATCAGAGGAGCATGGACACTAACACCAGGGCTATGCTAAAAACTTTTGTCAGCAGAGCCGTAGCATTTTAATGGCACAAGGTCTCTTGACACTAAGGGAGGGCATGGTGATACCAGATTAAAATTGCTTTTGCTGTTAAGCTGTGGATATTTACATTGACCACATAATCTGTACCAGCAAAAGCATTCCTCTGCTGGTGCAACAGCTTGGTCATGAGAAATTCGCATTATCTCTGCCACACATACAAGGGAATACAACTTCCTCTGGCTCATATGGATCTGAAGTTAAGAATTATCTCTGAGATAAACCCTTAACATATATATAAGGGAGGTGCCTGGAGAAAGAGAGAAGGAAGTAGAAATTTGTAACCTTTGGATTTTTTAATGTTTCATTTCTACTTTTTTTTACTAATATGAATCTTTCCATTGTAATAATAGCAAAACTTGAAACCTGTATTGCCCTAAAAAGAAGTCTCATACACTGCAGATTGTCCCCATGTTAATCAGATCACAAGCCTTTCCCAGCATTAGGCTCTAATCCTGGAGGATCATTATTTATCCCTATATTATTATAAAGACTTGTCATTAGCTAGGATGGCTTACATCAATTAGGAACAGGATAAGTGACAAAAAATAACTAATGAAACAAGAATATCTACACCATCTCATATTGATTTAACTTCATACAGTTCAAGCTCACACCTTAAATTAAGCTGATATAACCTGAATCTTAGAGAAGACCCAAGGAACTTCTGTCATTACCCTGTGTGCTCTTAAGCAAACCAGATGAAGTCTTTTGCAGCTAAAAGTGTTGAACGTAGACCCTTGTGAACCTACAAAGATCTTAGCACTACAGAACAAATACTTCCTTTATGCACTGCATTTGGCCTTACCAGTTATTTCTCAGTGTTCTCCAGTGACCTTTAACTTAGATCAGGGGAAATTTTACACGTGCCCAGGCAGGACAACATCGTTCCTTATAGAATGATCTCTAAGCAGACCAGATCAGGTTCCTGGGGCAATGTTTTTCAAGACTCTTCCCAGCTTTTTCTTGACACCTTATTACTATTATGGGCTCCAACCCAATCACCCATAGGTGCCACCACAATGTAAAGAGCAACCTGACATACTAGGAGTATGACTCCCATACACTGGTAATAGAATCATACATGATGCAGACAGAAAAATATGATGATTAGAAAGGATGGTTTAGCTATTAGATGGTCCTTTTTAGTCTGCGTGTTTTTTTCTTTTCTAGAGGCTCTCTCTTCCATTACAGCCTGTTTCTTTTTCATCATGAGCTCTCCCTGCAGTGTCAGACTTCAAACTTCCATTTACTGTAAGCCACGCACTCCCCCAGTTTCATTATCCACAAATGTTCCAATCCTAGATGCATCAAAATTGAGACTTCTGCTGCTGTAGTTTCTATGATCCATAAAATCTGCAGTTGAGGATACTGAGCATTCAGATCGTACACAGCCCTTTCATTCAGGGGAATTACTTAGATCACCTTACACGTGAAGAGAGCAATTGGTAAAGAAAGTAGCTCTTGTGTAATTTCATAAGAAATTCCTAAAGGATAAGAATCAGATCTGGCCTTACATGAGGCAGTCAGTGGCTAAAAATTATTTGTGTTAGCAAGCAGTGACAAAAAAACTGCAGCAGCAGTTGTAATGTCTGCAAATGTGACAGATACTGTGATCTTTATGAGAATTTGTAGCTCTGGCGGAATCTCAGCTCCTCAGTGAATAGCACAATTTTTGTTTTAGCTAGTAGAGTAAACTTTACTGATCTGAAAGGATGGATATAAATAGAAAGCCACTACCAGTATTGAACTACATACAGTAGTATGTAGCTTAAATTAGCCTCCAAGCCCCAGAATTTACAACAGATAGTGAAGCACATCTTAAAAATAGTTCACATTAACTCACTTCATTTAGGATTCCATGTATTTGGTATTCCAGCTACAATTTTCACATTTACTGCTCTGTGCACAGCACCCGTAACAATCACCATTAAAAGAAATTCTCTTGTTCATCACCAGTTACCTGAGACATATTTCTGTCCAGGTCATGGATGGATGCTTGACTGTAGATTGGAAGCAGTTCTGTATTTTAAACGGTAAATTACAATAGCACAAATGTGTTATAATGATTGGAATCGCTGTAACTTGGTACATGCTGTTTGTATTTAGAATCAAATTCAGAAGAAGAGTCTGTATGCTTATACATGCCATATACACATTCAGCATCTTATTCTTTAAGCGGGCACTCAAAGAACCAGCAAAATACGGATTGCCTAATGAAGGTGATCTCTAATTGTAGGGTAAGGTTACATATCAAAAGTTTTGAATCTGTCTTGCTAAAGAAGAGGTTGGCAAAAAGATGAAGAAGAAAAAAAGACCCCAAAGAAGGTCCTTGATCCAAACTCACTGTTTTCACTTTTATGCAGTCAGTGATATCCCTGCTTTCATGTTATAACAGACATTTCATGACATTTTCGGCTAAATCTCATTCATCTAGATTCATCCTCCTCAGAGATCATATGATAAACCTTTGTGCCACAAGATACTTGAATCTCTTTTCTATGCTATTTGTTCTGTTTTATTTTTCTAAATGCCACTCTAACCTTCTTAAATTCACTTATTTGAGTCTCGAACTACTGTAATCTTCTCTACGGTTGCTTAATATCCCCTTCAATTAAGAGCCTGGGTTGTTATCCATTTGTCATGTAATTGGCTTGTTAGCCTCTGATCTAGTTTCTTTGCCTTAGGTGTACATGTATTTGACTAATTCCCATAATTTAGGGATGCTTTTTCCTACTTCAGTAGGAATAATGTACATGCAGCACTTGCTCAGATGCTGATACTCAGAATCAGGATACAGATAGCAGCACCTGCATTTCTGAAATATATACCATCTGAAATCTATACCATCTGTTCAGATACCTGATTTTCAGAATGGAAGACTGGGAGGGCCTTTAGAATTCTTTTATGTTGGCGGGGTTTTTTTTGCAATAACTGCCTTTAAAAAATTGCAGCTAGTTGCTGCTGGTTTAAATTATTATTAAGTGTGTTTTATTTCATTTCTAATTTGCTTTCAATATTTGTGTTTTAGGAAATACAGGAAACACATTCAAGATTGAACCAGTTTTAGGAATCATTACATTACTGAAGGAGCCAGACTTAACCACAATGGGACAGTTTGTTTTGTCAGTCAAAGTGACCGATCAAGGTTCTCCACCACTGTCTGCAACAGCGATTGTGCGGATATCTGTGACGATGGCAGACAACTCCCACCCCAAGTTCACTCTCAAAGAATACCAAGCGGAGGTTAATGAAAACGTAGATATTGGTACTTCTGTCATCTCTCTCTCTGCAATCAGTCAGTCCACGTTAGTTTATGAGGTTAAAGATGGGAATGTGGATGGAGTCTTCACTATAAACCCATATTCTGGAGTGATCACCAGTCAAAAGGCCCTTGATTATGAACGCGCTTCCTTCTATCAGCTCATCGTACAGGCAACAAATATGGCAGGCATGGCATCAAATGCCACTGTGAACATTCAGATTGTTGATGAAAATGATAACCCACCAGTTTTTCTCTTCTCTCAGTACTCGGGCAGCATAAGTGAAGCTGCTCCTGTAAATAGCATAGTCCGGAGTGCAAATAACAGTCCCCTCGTGATACGTGCCACTGATGCTGACAGCAACCAGAATGCTTTGCTTGTCTACCAGATTGTTGAATCTACTGCAAAAAAATATTTCACAGTAGATTCCAGCACAGGTGCAATCAGAACAATTGCAAATTTAGATCATGAAACAATAGCCCACTTCCACTTCCACGTGCATGTTAGAGACAGTGGGAATCCCCAGCTTACAGCAGAGAGCCCAGTTGAAGTGACCATTGAGGTAACTGATGTCAATGACAACCCACCGGTCTTCAGCCAGGCAGTATTTGAGACGGTTTTGCTCCTGCCCACATATGTTGGTGTTGAAGTTCTCAAAGTCAAGGCTACAGACCCAGATTCAGAGATCCCTCCTGAACTAACTTATAGTCTAATTGAAGGCAATATGGACCATTTTTTAATTGATTCAAGCACAGGGGTACTCACCATTAAAAACAATAGCCTCTCCAAAGACCATTATATGCTAATAGTAAGAGTATCTGATGGGAAATTTTATAGCACTGCTATGGTGACAATAATGGTAAAAGAAGCCATGGATAGTGGGCTCCATTTCACACAAAATTTTTATTCCACTTCTATCTCAGAAAACACCACCAATATCACAAAGATTGCTGTGGTGAATGCTGTTGGTAACCGCCTCAATGAGCCTTTGAAATACAGTATATTAAACCCAGGCAACAAATTTAAAATCAAATCCACCTCAGGAGTCATTCAGACAGCTGGCATCCCCTTCGACCGAGAGGAACAAGAGCTGTATGAGTTGGTGGTGGAAGCAAGTCGTGAACTAGATCACCTTCGTGTTGCTCGAGTGGTGGTGAGGGTTTACATTGAGGACATAAATGACAATGCTCCAGTGTTCGTAGGGCTTCCGTACTATGCTGCTGTGCAAGTCGATGCTGAGCCTGGTACCCTGATATATCGAGTGACGGCTATTGATAAAGATAAGGGTGAAAATGGTGAGGTGTCCTATCTTCTGAAAGAAGACTATGGACATTTTGAAATCGATAGAGGATCTGGTAGTGTCACTTTAAAAGAAGCCTTCAATTCTGATTTGTCTAATATAGAGTATTTGGTTGTCATTCTTGCAAAAGATGGTGGTAACCCATCGTTGTCTGCTTCAGTAGAGCTCCCCATTACTATTGTTAACAAAGCGATGCCTGTATTTGACAAGCCCTTCTATACAGCTTCCGTGAATGAAGATGTGGAAATGCACACGCCGATTTTAAGCATAAATGCAACCAGTCCAGAAGGCCAGGGCATCATTTATATCATTGTCGATGGAGATCCCTACAACCAGTTTAATATTGACTTTGATACTGGAGTTCTGAGTGTCATCAGCCCACTGGACTACGAAATAAATTCTCTTTTCAAGCTGATGGTGCGAGCCAGCGATGCCCTCACTGGCGCTCGAGCTGAGGTCACTGTGGACTTGATCATTAATGATGTTAATGATAATCCTCCCATTTTCGATCAGTCGACTTACAATGCTACTTTGTCTGAAGCATCTTTGATTGGGACTCCTGTACTGCAGGTTGTTGCTATTGATGCTGACTCTGACAATAACAAGATTGTGCAGTATCAGATAGTCCAGGACACCTTTAACAGCACGGACTATTTCCATATAGACAGCACCAGTGGCCTAATTCTGACAGCCCGGATGCTCGATCATGAACTCATACAGCAGTGCAGCTTGAAAGTCAGAGCAACCGATAATGGCTTCCCGCCACTAAGCAGTGAGGTTCTTGTTAGTATCTCAATAACAGATATGAATGACAACCCTCCAGTTTTTAACCAGTTAATATATGAATCGTATGTGAGCGAACTGGCACCTCGGGGTCATTTTGTGACTTGCGTCCAAGCCTCTGATGCTGACAGCTCCGATTTTGACAGACTGGAGTACAGCATCCTATCAGGAAATGATCGGACCAGTTTTATTATGGACAGCAAGAGCGGTGTTATCACCCTTTCCAACCATCGCAAACAGCGAATGGAGCCCATGTACAGCCTAAATGTCTCTGTGTCAGACGGGCTGTTCACCAGCACAGCTCAGGTGCACATACAGATCCTTGGGGCCAACCTCTACAGCCCTGTGTTTTCGCAGAGCGTTTATGTTGCAGAGGTTAGAGAAAACGCTGCTCCTGGAACTAAGGTAATCCATGTGAAGGCAACAGATGGGGATTCGGGTGTATATGGCCAGATAAGCTACTCCATAATAAATGACTTTGCCAAGGACCGATTTTTGATTGATAGCAATGGGCAGATTCTGACAACTGAGAGGTTAGACCGGGAGAACCCGCTGGAAAGTGATATTGGTATATTTCTGAGAGCCCTTGATGGCGGTGGCAGGACTACGTTTTGCACTGTGAGAGTGATAGTAGTGGATGAGAATGACAACGCTCCTCAATTTATGACGGTCGAATACAGAGCAAGTGTCAAAGCAGATGTTGGGAAAGGTTACTTGGTGACCCAAGTACAAGCGGTAGATCCAGATGATGGAGCCAATTCCAGAATTACCTATTCTCTGTATAGTGAAGCCTCTGTTTCAGTAGCTGATCTGCTTGAAATAGATCCAGACAATGGATGGATGGTCACCAAGGGTAGCTTTAACCAGCTGAAAAACACAGTTCTGTCATTCTTTGTCAAAGCAGTTGATGGTGGCATTCCTGTAAAGCATTCCCTCATTCCTGTCTACATCCATGTTTTACCCTCAGAAACTATTTTGCCTTCCTTTTCTCAACCCCAGTATTCTTTTACCATAGCAGAAGACACCGTCATAGGTAGTACCATTGACATTCTGCATGTTTTGCCTAATCAGGGCGCTTTGTATAGCACAGTTAATGGTGAACTGACTGAAAACAACAAAGATGGGGTTTTCATCATAGAGCAAGACACGGGGCTCATAAAACTGGATAAGAGACTTGACCATGAAACAAATCCTGCTTTTCACTTCAAAGTTGCAGCCACCATTCAGCTCGACAAAGTAGACATTGTGTTGACTGTGGATGTGGAGGTTAAGGTGTTGGACGTAAATGATAACAAGCCCATGTTTGAAACGGCTAGCTATGACGCTATAATAATGGAAGGGATGCCTATAGGAACAAAACTTATGCAAGTTAAAGCGGTTGATGCAGACTCGAGTGCAAACGGGCAGGTCACTTATACACTTGCAGTGGAATCGGAGCTGGAGAAGATCACGGAAGCGTTCACCATTGATAGCAACAGTGGCTGGATCAGCACACTGAAGGATCTGGACCATGAAAAGGATCCTGCTTTCACCTTTGCAGTGGTGGCCTCAGATCTGGGGGAAGCTTTATCCTTGTCGTCAACCACCTTGGTCTCAGTTACTGTGACAGATATAAATGATAACGCACCCGTCTTTGAGCATGAGGTGTACAGAGGGTCAGTGAAGGAGAGCGACCCTCCAGGGGAAGTCGTGGCTGTTCTTAGCACCTGGGATGAAGACACATCTGATGTCAACCGGCAGGTTAGCTACCATATTACAGGTAAGAAACAACTTGCATGCTTTTTTCCCAAAACCAGCTTTACTGAAGAACTGTGCATGTGTCCAGTTTCAGGTGAATGTTTAGCAGGGTTTCAGCTAAATTATCGCTGTGAATCAGACAACTGCATCTTTCTCTGATTTTTTTTTTTTTTTTAATTTGGACAAAGTTTGCAGCAGCTAGCAAAGCTGAAAAGAGAGAAAGGGAGCGGGTGCGTCTGTGTCTGTCTGTCTGCCTGTCTGTCTGTCTGGGTTATTCTCTCTCCGATTTCCAAGATTAATGCTTCATGATTTGCTGCAGTGCAATGTAGTGTGACCCATCAACCCATCATAATTGATGTGTCAGCGTGGAAACCATCATGACTTAATGTTTCATCCAAGGGAAGAAGAACATTTTATTCTTAAGGAGAAAATCCTTACATTTCCAAGCATTTAAAATTTTTTGAAATAGCATTTTTCTGTTTCAGATAGGAAAGTGCATGCAGGAGCCACTTTGAAATACCACTATGTATGGGGGGGAGAGGGGGGAGGAATGAATTTTACATTGGAATGAGTGGGGAGATGCCATTCCTTATCAGCACAGATTTCTGGCCAGGGAAATAGTAATCCACTTAGAAGCACTGGTTAGCTGCCATGCATTGTTATATACAGCATAAGGCAATTTCGATTACATTACTAACATATTTTTCAAAGTGTGGTAACATTGCTCTTTCCTATTGTGCTATATTTATTATCATTCTTTTCCCCTAGATTCAGACTGCCTTTTGTGTATGTTATGAGTGATGGGGTGCTGCAGTTATTTTTCTGCCTACGGCTTGCATTGTTCAATAGATTTTGTTAGGGAACAACTTTGTCATTCCTCCCAACCTTCACAATCCAAGAGCTAATATTAATTACCTAGTAATAACCAGATTATTGGACAAATTGGCATTTTTATCACTGGACAGGATTAGAATTACACAAGACTGCACGTAGGAAGCAGGCTATTGGCAAAAATGACTTAACTAAGGGGATAACAGTTTGTATATTTTGATCTGGAGGGTAAGACCAACCCCTTCGTTAGCAATCAAATTGGAAATTGCTGCAGGATGGTGTGTAGGGAGAGGTGTATTATTGCAGTTAGCCATAGACTGCCTGTGTTACACATCAGAAGTAGTATCATTTTCAAAGCAACCAGAAATTCATTCTGACCATTTACTTGAAAGTCTGGATTCAGTTTAAAGGTTTGCAAAGACTATGTGTTTATAGTGTGATGCACTGTAGGATATTAGAAGTAGAGGCAAAAATAGTCTTGTGGATAAAGCACAAGATTTGGAGGCTTTGGGCAAGGTGCATTAGCTGCCGGTAATCCAGTTCCCACATATCTAAAAGTAAATAAGTAGTGCCTCATCCTAGAGATTTTGTGATCTTTGAAGGAGTTTGGGGATCCCAGTATCCCCTTGTAACAAAAATGCATTCATGTACTGTGATCATAAGCTGAAGGTACTGTTTTTCTCTTTGTTCTGAAGTCTTTCAGTCATCTCTTATAATGAATTATGCTTTTAGTTACATAATAATGTTTTCTTCACATCCCTGTGCTGTTAATTTAGCAAAAACTGGACTTTTGAATAATAACTGTCACATGTGTCAGAGGGCTGGAGCACCTCTCCTATGGGGACAGGCTGAGAGGGTTGGGGTTGTTCAGCCTGGAGAAGAGAAGGCTCCAGGGAGACCTTATAACAGCCTTCCAGTACTTAAAGGGAGCCTGCAAGAAGGCCAGAGAGGGACTTTTTACAGGGGCATGTAGTGATAGGACAAGGGGCAATGGCTTTAAACTGAAGGAGGATAGACTGAGATTAGATGTAAGGAAGAAGTTCTTCACTGTGAGGGTGGTGAGGCACTGGAACAGGTTGCCCAGAGAAGTTGTGATACCCCATCCCTGGCAGTGTTCAAGGCCAGGTTGGATGGGGCTTTGAGCAACCTGGTCTAGTGGAAGGTGTCCCTGCCCATGGCAGGGGGGTTGGAACTAGATGATCTTTAAGGTCCCTTCCAACCCAAACCATTCTTTGGTTCTATGATTCTATGTGACTCAAAAATTATAGATCATTCTGTACCTTAATTTCTGTCACAGTTCAAAATATGTCAGATATTTTGCTGGTATTTAGTTTCTGAAAATGTTAGATATCAAAGCCTAAAACTTTCTGTAATGGCTACTGTACAACTACTAAAGTATATGAGCTCAGAAATTCCACTGTCTTTGAATATATCCTTTGGAGTTGGGATATGCATAAGGAGAAATTAGGTTCTTTTGATTAAAATGTCAAAACATATTAAAGTATAGTTTAACTAACGAAATAGTCTATTCACACATTACCTCATGTTGAGCGCAGGAACTGCACTTGAATATTTCATGGCATTAGATTAGCTAGATGATTATTCAAATGCTGTGGCTTTCTGGAGGCATTTTGAGCCATAGAAACTTCTGTGAATACAATAAACAAACTCTGAGGGAAAATGGGACACTGACAAAAAGGGAGAAGAAAACTAATTATGAGAATGACATGTGGATCCACCAAAACCAGCTTTGTGCAATGCACCTGGAGAAAAGTAGCATTCAGGAAAAAAATCATCACTTAGGAGATGAAAGAAAGAAACGTTCTGGGTTAGATGTGATCACTGAAGGTTCCTTTGCATTCTTTTGAGAAATACAAATGCTTATTGCAGTCTTCTGGTCAACTGAAAAGGAGTAGATAGATACATTCTGGTAGATGAATATGTATTCTGTTCTGAACTCCATCAGTTTAGGATCGGTTTCCATGATTACTGGCAAGTAGTTGCCATTTTCAAGTCCACCTTCATCTGCATTTGATGGGGGGGGGGGAACTTTTGCACTTACCCTTTGTTATTTGTAGTTTGGTAGCAGTTGGAGATGTTCACAAAGCAAAAGCATTATATATAAATCTTAATAGAAAATCAATAGGAAGCGCAGATGACGCAAACGTACTTAGGGAGCACAGCAGTTTTCTTTTGAAGGCTCATTTGAGGTCATTGCCTATATCATTTGAGGCAGTTTGGCTACAACCAGGTCTCTGCTGATGTTTAGCTAGGATGTTTAGCCAGCCTAGACCCAGCCAGCTTTACTGAGATTTAACAGTGGTAAACTAGGAAAAGCCACCAGAAAAATGTCAGTTGCTAAGACTTTGGTACAGTAAAGTGTTTTGTGTTCCTCAGTGATGTTAATTAGGCTCCATCAGGCATGTAAATCTAAGGACAGACAATAGTCTTTAAGCTTGGTTCAGCTGAATACAAGGAAGATGGACAGTGTGTTTTGGAAGAAGGAACTGGTATTGTACACAGTAGGGGTTTTGCTGGGTTGATTGCCCAATGTGAGCAAAGTGATGTTTTTTGTTTGTTTTTATTTTATATTTGAGATCCTGGAGTTCTAGAGAAATGGATGTTTCAGTGTTTGGGGAGGACTTGTGCTGCAGGCTGAAGAACAGTGTCTGCAATTTTACGATAGTAAAGCTAAGAGGATTGGATTTATCATTTCGGCAGCTCAGTAAACGCGCAACATCTTAAACTGGGAGTGGAGGATAAACCTATTGATTTTATGTGATGCAAATGACTAGAGTTCTAATTGGGAATTGAAAGTATCAAAATAAATGCATAAATGTAAGAGAGAAACTAAATAAATAAGTCAGTAAATACTCAGTTCCCCCTCCCAGATTGGGACATTACAGTGAAAACTGATACTGTTGGCTTCTAGTTTTCTGTTCCCTTATAATTCCCTCTGTGTGTGCTTTAGTAATGATGTGTGTCAGGATTTGTTTATTTTGGATCACTGTGTCTCTGCATTTCATTTGTATCTGGCTGTTTTCTTTCTTTACTTAAACTTGAGCTTGATTTGCCTTTGTACTATTTGCTGACTAGGGAGGGAGGGAGAGCATTATTTAAACTTCAAGTAACAAAAGATAAAAGATAGTGCTGATTCTTTTAGCCTCAAACCCTTTCTAAAAAGTTACTGGAGTGTTTTTTGTAGCTAGCACTTCACTGTTGTGACATTCAAAGTAGAACATAAGAAAACTGCCAAAAGATTTTAAAGAATCCATTAATACATGTAGTCAGGAGGCTTCCGTTTAGAAAAGCTACATTATTCAGAGTGAAAAACTAATTAATTAGAATGCCCCTAGGAAACTGAATCTGCTTACATATATTAGTGAAAAAGTTAATTAATCACTGCAGAATGAGATCTGCGTCAAGACATATGTATAAGTACTAGAAAATGGTTCCCTGGGCCACAGTGTGGATTTTTTTGCCTTTCTTTTTTTGAGACTATTTCCTTGATGGTATTTTAGTGTTTACATCTCATTATTTCTGTTACACTTTATAATACAACTTCTACCTTTGTCTTCTATCAACAAAGTGTATAGCCAGTCCTAAGAAACAAAAAAAAAAAAAAGAAAGGTAGCGCTAATGAAAAAGGCATGCAGATAAACTGTTACACATGTTTGCTGCTAATTGCACAGGTTTCTTGGTCATTCAAATTGATCCTTTTCTAGTGGAGTAAAGTGGGGTGAAAGGGATCCCAAGGACTTTTTTTTTATGCATACTCCCCAAATTCCTATGTATGATTTAAAAGCCATTCCATCAACAACAAAGCAACAGTGATTTTAAAATCGCTCCAAGCTAGCATTACTGCCAGCCATAAAAGCCACCAGCTGATTTTAATTAGATTTTACCCTTCCTTTTTTCTTAGCAATGGGATACCCGTACCTTGAATGTATTGCTTCATAGTTGGTCGGGACAGTTAATCATTTCCTTTTACAAAAGGACTAATATGCAGGAAAGCACTGATTAATATCACAAAGCTAAATAAGAATATTTAAGACCAGTTTTATTAATGGTTTACAACATTAAACTCACTATGACAAGATTACAGCCTTTTATAAAGGGGAGTTAAGCTATTTTATGCTGGTGTTGAACCGAATAGAGAGAATTTAATGTCAATCAGCAGGGGTCTACCTTCTTTGAAGTCACATTAAGACTCAAGTCAATGGACAGTCTCATTGCCTTGAATTGTATACAGATATGGCCTGTAGTGCACATCGACATACTGTGTAACCCTCTTTAGCAGAAATGTGTGTTTATATCACAAAACAGATTAAACAAGGTTTAACCAAGTCCTCTGATGATTATTCCAGACTGTCATAGAAATCAGTGGGAAAATTAGGATCTGCTTGGTTTTGTGATCGAAAAAGGTGATTTTCTATCAACAGAAAATATCTGTGTTTGATATACCAGTTTTGTGCTCTGTTTAATTAGAGGGCCTTTTATAATTATAATGCCTATCTGACTAATTTTCCAGAAATCTTACTCATTACAATGTGATTTTTTGACACAGTTACTGCTAGGACAAATGGCGATGCTTAACAAGAAAGATTTGCTCAGCCTGTCTCAACTGACTTAGTTTTCATATTAAATAGAAACCAGTCTATCTTGTCATTGGTAGCTAATGAAGAAGACATAGATTACAGCCTGTGACCTCTTTTCTGCTTTTTGATGTAGAAAGAAGGTATGAAATATGCATTAGACTTTTTTGCTTGGTTTTAAGCTCAGTTTCAAGTTCAGATCTTCTCTGCCTTATTTTTTTGCTAAGAAGGTCCCTGGGAACTGACAGAATTGTGACACCAGAAGCAACAACAGTGACATCTAGTCGCTCGACAGCAGAGGCAACTCAAATAATTCAGCCTTGGATTTTTTTTTTAAATAGTTATTTACTCAAACATTCAGCACAAGTACTAGAGAGGAAGGTTTAAGAACCTGGTCTTTCCACTGAGCTTGGACAGGTCCCCTGACACATGTCAGGACCCTGAATAAGTTGTAAGCAAAAGTACACTAGGACGCTTGACATTCTTGATCCTGTTACAAGAAAGAATAAGCATTCCCTTAATATTTTTATACCACTTTTATACATGAGAAACATGGAAAGTAGTTCTCAGATTTCATTTCTGCGTGGGAAAGCACAGCAGAAAACTTAACATGGTGGTGAAAGCACTAGTAGCATGTTAGCTGGAATTATAGTTCACCCAGTGGAGAAGCGTGATGCTTTTTTCTATGTCCTCACTCAGTTTGTGTAGCACGTAAGTTTGCTGTGACTATAGTGTTCTATCCTAAATTATTAAATGTGCAGCTATGTTTTTACAGACCAAGGTTGTGTTAGACAGTGTGCCCAGAAGACTGGGTAGTTGGCTTTACTTGTTTTGGCTGGGGTAGAATTAATTTTCTTCATCGCAGCTGGTATGGTGCTATGTTTCGGTTTTGTGACCAAAACAGTGTTGATACCACAGGGATGTTTTAGCTATTGCGGAGCAGGGCTTACCCAGAGGCAAGGCTTTTTCTGCCTCTCCCCCCACCCCACCAGCGAGGAGGCTGGGGGGGCACAAGGAGCTGGAGGGGACACAGCCGGGACAGCTGACCCCGACTGACCCAAGGGATATTCCAGACCATAGGGTGTCGTGCTCAGCATATAGAGCTGGAGGAAGAAGGATGAAGGGGGGACATTTGGAGTAATGGCGTTTGTCTTCCCAAGTAACTGTTACACGTGATGGAGCCCGGCTTTCCTGGAGATGGCTGAACACCTGCCATTAATTCCTTATTTTGCTCTGCTTACACAAGCAGCTTTTGCTTTACCTATTAAACTGACTTTATCTCAACCCATGAGTTTCTGCACTTTTACCTTTCCGATTGTCTCCCCCTTCCCGCTGTGGGGGGAATGAGCTAGCAGCTGTGTGGGGCTTAGCTGCCTACCAGGGTTAATCCACAACAATGGCTTAAAAGATTTTACTATCTGGTCTGACAGGGGGTTGAGATTGGGCTCAGAGAAAGGCGACTGAAAGTGGTTTCTTCGTGGAGCAGGCAGGGGACTACACCATTTCAGATGAAAGAGTAAATAACTGTTGGAAACATTAACAGCTGTGCCCACCTCGATTATTGTGCCCTTCTGCATGTGACATGTCCTTCCTTCCTTCCTGAGGATGATGTGGACCAAAACTTTCCCTCTCCCAACCTGCTTTTGTCACCAGGCAATGTAATGATGAGGAAGAGCAACATTGCCAGGTTCAAGTGTCAGTGTTACGGCATGATAAAAAGCTGTTCTCTTTCGTCTCCTGCACTCCTTTCACCAGCTTTCAGTCTCAGATACATTTGATCTAATTGTACTGCTTATCTTCCAACTGCTCCTCAAATGACCTCTTGTTAGGACTATTTAATACTAATGTGTCTTCCTGTGTCATGTAAACTTTTTTAAAAACTAGAATTTTAATGAGCAGAGGAACGGCGCAGCTGTATGATAAAGCTTTCATTAGAGGATTCCTTAATAGAACCCACTTCCAGTCCTTGATTGCATAATCAACAGCTAATGAAATTGTCTTGGTAACAAGAGCTACGGTGTATTACATCCTCTCCGGAGACTAAGTGGAAAGACAATTGTACCAGCCTGAGAGGACTATTGATTGTTCACAGTTTGAATTTGATTGCCCTTACGGGGAACTAAACAAGAGATCATCTTCAGCTCTGCTAAATGGATTTTGTTTCCACTGAAAGTTATTGGTTCACTTTCATACAAGGCGTTCGGGGGGCAATAAACACGGGGAGCATAATCTCATTACAGATTTCCTGAGTCTGTCAGTTTGAAAGCACCGACCACTGTAAAACAAATGACAACTGCTTAATTCAGGTCCTCTGTGATGTGTCTGTGTGTTTAAATGAGGTGGGAGCTCTGAAGGGACGCCCCAGCCTGTTGCGTGTTGCTTGTCTCGTTGCAGGAGGGAATCCCAAAGGGAAGTTTGCTCTGGGACTGGTTCAGAATGAGTGGAAGGTTTATGTTAAAAGGCCTCTAGATCGGGAAGAGCAAGACATTTATTATCTGAACATCACCGCCACGGATGGCCTCTTTGTGACCCAAGCTGCCGTGGAAGTGACCGTCACTGATGTTAATGATAATAATCCAGTTTGTGAACAGGTGAGTTAGCAACACCCGCGGCAATCGACTGTTGTGTTGAAAGTGATGGTTTCCCTAAGGGTGTCCCTGCTATTTACAGGTATTCACAGGCAATGCCCTTTTTCATCTTTAAGGTCTTAGTTGAAGAATCTGGAGTGATCTGGGAGGCAAGCAGGATAAAGAAGTCCTGTGAAGCCAAGATTGAAGGATAATGGTCTAGTAAATGTGGCAAAGGAGTCTTGTCCACAGTTGCCTTAGTTGGCTTTAGAAAAAAATGAAGCATTGTGAGGTGGCACTGGGCAGCCACTCCCCCCTTGCAGAAAAAATGTGCTTTCCCTTCACAACCAATGTGGAAATGCCTTCAATCTAGTTTAACTCCAGACTTCCTGAACCTGGCAGATGCCAGAGACCCAGTGGAAAAGGCAGAAGAACGTAGCTTGCTCTCATGTTGTTGGGCATGCACGCAGTGTAGCCTGACCACAGCTTTCACCGTGCTAGCTGTCTCTTATTCTGTGGAACGGCAATGTGGGGAACCGATATTACTGCAATAGAAAGGTCTGTGTGAAAGAAAAGACACGATGAAATGCAGAGTTCCTTAGTGGTACTGCTCACAGAATCTTATATGTGTATATGTGTATATGTATATACTCATATAATTCCCACCATTACATTATCACTGATGGACCACTGTCATTGCAAGCACCACTCTGGGGAATCACAGTCTGTATTTCCCTCAAACACTGCTGGATGAGGCGATAAAAACAGTTGTCTTCGTTAGCACACTCATCAAAGTTTCCATTTCATGGGTGTTGACGAAACAAACTGAAGATAGAAAATGAGACCGCATTTAACATCTAAGACAAGCCCTATTAACAGTCATAATTTGGCATTGTTTTTGTGACACCTCAAAGCTTAACAGTGATTTGAATTTCTAGGAATGTGTTACGTGAAGGAAAATTGTTTCCTGTATAGAAAGATGCACTACAGAGAGTTTAAAAAAAGAGTTGTGCAGAGACTATAAAATACTGTTACAGCATAGCTTACATTTCTGTTTTTTTCTCTAGGTTGCGTACACAGCACTGTTTCCTGAAGACATTCCATCAAACAAAGTCATTCTTAAAATCAGCGCTAAAGATGCTGACATTGGGTCCAATGGCGAAATTCGCTATTCTCTCTATGGTGCTGGGAACAATAAATTTTTCTTAGATCCAGAAAATGGTAAGATGACAACTGAATGTTTCTGAACAGCCTTCTTAATCCCTCGACATCAGTGGGTGCTAGTTTTCTTAACTTGAGTTAACTTCGTTATCAGCCAGTTCCTCATCCACCGAGCAGTCCACCCCTCAAATCCATATCTCTCCAATTTAGAGAGAAGGATGTTGTGGGGGACCCTGTCAAAGGCCTTGCAGAAGTCCAGATAGGTGACATCCATAGCTCTTCCCTTGTCCACTGATGCAGTCACTCCATCACAGAAGGCCACTAGGTTGGGCAGGCAAGACTTGCCCTTTGGGAAGCCATGCTGGCTGTCTCGAATCACCTCCATGTGTTGTCCTGGAGTCTTTTTGGTACAGAAGGGGGGAAGATGCCAACATGGTCCTCCTTCACCTTTGGACCTCACTTCTTCTGCCTTGGTCTAGATATATTGGTATGTAGATCCTGTAAAAAAGACATTCCTTTTATACGCAGATTTTGGGGGAGAAAGGATATCAGCAATGAATTTGTGGGCACAGTGGAATGCTACAGAGGTCTTGTACATTTGGCAGTTGGTCTGGAAAAAGATACTGATCTTGCTAAGATCTAAATTTTATGGTTGTTATGAAGTAAAGCTAACTATAATCATTTTCCCATGAATAAAAATCCCACCGTTCTGTTATTCTTAGGAATTTGGTTTCCATAATGATAGACTTAAGTCCTTCCCTGTGCAATGCCTCCTCTGCCTGACTAGCAGGAGACAGAGCCCACTATTGCCGTAGCGTTACTGATGGAAGAGGAGGTGTTCAGAGATCTATGCAGTGTGTGGAAGGGAAAGGATTGCCCTCTTCAAGAACAAGTTTTTTATTTAACTGCAAATTACACCCTTTACAAAATTAACCCCAAACTTACCTTCTGACTAGTAGTGATGTGGCAATGTTTGGTGGTTGTTTATCTGTGCAGTAGGAAATGGATCATGGGTAAAGCTCTCACAGTCTGAATAAGCTGGCTTTTTGTTGCTGTTAATGTTTATTGTGATACCCGTCTCTGTATGAGAATAAGAAGTTTGTTTCAGACTAGATGCCAGAGGTATCTACGAGAATTCAGAGCTGGTTGGAGATTGCTTTGTGGGGAGAACGTGGGTGTTGATGTTATTTTTGAACAGTAGCGTTAGAAAATTTAACGTTCACTACAGCTACTGTCATCAGATTCAGGATGTGTTTCTCTGTCTAAGAGTCTATAAAACTTGAGATAACAGAAAGACAGGCTTGGAAGAGCACGGTGGTGTTCATATGGGTGACGTTGTAGGCTGTTGATGGCCACCATGAGTGGCTTGTCCTCCCTGCACTCATACTGGCAGCTCACATTGTTGGGTGAAGAAGAGTGAGAAGTGACACTGCTGTGAGTTTTTAAGCCGTTCATTGGAATAAGCAAGGTTGATTTTTTTTTCTCTTTCCTATTCCTGTGAAATACTTGTTTTTGAGATACTTAACACTGTCTAGAATTAGTGATGTTGCTACAGTAATAATGATGGCTGCTGCTTTTAATCAATTTTAGGTGAGCTGAAATCCTTGGCCCCTCTCGACCGAGAGAAAATCCCTGCGTACAACTTGGTTGCCCGAGCCACAGATGGTGGTGGCAGGTTTTGCCAATCAGAAATCCATCTTATTTTAGAAGATGTTAATGATAATCCACCACTGTTTTCATCTGATCACTACACCGCGTGTGTCTATGAGAATACAGCCACTAAAGCTTTGTTAACAAGAGTCCAAGCCACTGATCCTGATGTCGGTAAGTGAGTAATGCTGCGAACAATAATTATTGTTCAGGAAAACTCTGTGGATTGGTGGAATTGCAATACAGATTAATTTGTCTATTGCTGCCTTTCTTCATTCTTTCCTCTTTTTGCTTCTGCATCCCCCCCATTTTTCTCTCTTTTGTTTCTTTACAGCGAAATGCTGGTGGCTGAGCTTGACATAATGGTGTTAGAAACAGAAAAGCATTGCAGCAGCCACAGAAGCATGTATTCTTTTATTGCCTTGATCACCAATAGCTATGTTTAGGGATAAATGATAATTTGGGGGGTAAATTTCAACTTCCTTCCTCCAATGGTCTCACCTCTTTTTGAGCCATGATTTTGAATACCCATGCCTCTATTTATGCAAATAATATACTTGCATGTCATAGGTACCTATACCTGATTAATCACAGCTTTTCTAGAGTTTTATACTGCCATAACTCCCATTTGTTCCAGCTGGTTACCTTAGCATAAAACTATTGTTGTACACTGTGAATGTACATTATAAATGTTCTGGTTATTTAAGTTTGCATTCTTTTAAAGTGTAATAGTTTATTATATGAGAACCTTAATGTTGAAATCTGGGCTCAATTATAAATATTTAAAGGGGTTTTTTTTGCATAACACAGTGGTGAAACCTACCAAATATCAGATATTTTTTTTTTAGCTCATTCACTTCAGTTGGAATAAATAAACCCCACAGTTTATTTTTATTTCCTGTGGTTCTGGAGATGTTTTGTAAAAACTGTGGCCTGAGTAGCTTCACATAAAAAGCAGACCTTTTATTGAATGAAAAAATATTTCATGTTAAAATCTTTTTTTTTTTTTAAGTACAGTGCATGCTGGAAGTCTCAGTTGTTACTAAGGCTGATAATGTAAATATACAGGATTCAGTAAAGGAGCAGCAAGCCTTCATTAAAGTATCTATGAAAATCTGCATTATATGCCTTGGTTGAAAAATCACAATTAAAATTATGATACTGTCCTGCGGTGAAAAGCCAATTACTGGTAGTAAACTACTGAACAATCTGAAGACTCAGTGTTGTTGTTTTCCACTGTTGTCTTAATTACCATTTTTCTCGCAGGTGAGATGACATTCAAGGAAAGAGGGAGACAGAAAGAATTAGAATAAAAAGTTGTCAATAAAAGTTCTTGCTAGCACCAACTTTACATAATAAGATTGTTAGCAATTAAAAAAAAAAAAACAAAAACCAAAAAACATGATCTAATTGCTACATCTTCCTTCTGAAACTAGATAAGTTAAAGGGAGAGATGCATGTGATGAATGAGAAGGTGCTATGTATTTCTTTAATGATTAGATCTGAAAATCAAACAAGACATTGTATCATATGAAAGTGACTTTGGTCTCTAAAATTGGATTTTATATTAATTACTGTTCTATTAGTCCCTACTAAAATCACTGATTCCCTATTGCTGCATAATAAATGAGTTCAGGTAGTGTAATGTTCCCATCACAGAGAAAAATGTATTATTGATATTCCTGATGGGCTATGATATTCCTGTAAGGTTTTGTGGAGTGTTACCCTGAAAACATCAGTGGAGCCAGTAATCATCATACAAATAAATTTTTAACATTCAGGAATCATCTTACGATCAGTCTTAGAATTAGCGCAGTCTTCCGCTTTGGGTTTTGAAGAGCCACGTACTGTAAGGATAGGAGTATCAATATGGAAGCCATTGAGATAAAACTTGAGAGAAGTCAATTTGCGGTCTGCACCTAAACACAATTTAACATCAAACTGAAGATATTGTGGTCAGACACTGTTGGATAATTAAGACAATTTCCAGTTAACAGGAAAATAGTGTTATATCTGCCTTGTGCCTCTGATATGTTTTGAAGTTCCTGAACTCATAATATCCTGGGAAATTTCAGGACTGGAACGTAAATTGTTGTTTAATATATTTGTAATTTGGATACATGCTTAGAAACTAGCTGTACCAGCTGGACACACTGAAGGAGAGATGTGATTCTTCTTCACAATATTCAACAGAAGAAAATGGGTTTAACTGTTTAACTCTAGTAGCACGCAAGTTCATTTTACATAACCTCTCCATGTAGCTAGGTATCTTAAATTAAATGATCGCTTGAAGGAGAGAGAATATACATAAGTCCTTTTGTTAAGACTTATTAGTAACATTAATATAAAACATTTTTTTCTTCCATCCTGCTTCCATCGGAAATTCTTAATATTTCCACAAGATAACATTTCCTACTAACTGACCACCATCAGGTTTGGAAATGCGCAAACTAAGAAATGAAAGAGAAATGCTGGTTTTACAGGGTTTTAGAGAAGTTCACAGGGAGCAGTGCATTTTCCACCTCCCACTGTCTTCAAATCAAAGTGCCAAATTACTCCATTCTGTTCAAATTAAGGCACGAGAAGAATTGGAGTGAATGCTGAGGTGTAATTATCTGAGCAAACCCATCAGACAACTACAATATCAGCCCGTTTCAAAGGAATTAGGGTCATGCTAGAGCAGCAACACTGAGAAAACCTACATGGGACTTTGTGGCAAGCATGACATTAAAAAATTGATAAACTTCAAAATAAAGCTGGAGCCCAAACCTGAGCTGCAGGTGCATACTCATTTCCAGCCCTGCTCCTGTTTTCTGCATGCATACAGTGTTGCAGCCTTGCTCGCAGAATTAAAGAATGAATGACAGCATGGTCCAAGCTCAGCAGTGCTTTAAGTGATGGTTAATTCCTGCCTCACTTGCAGCTACTTTGCCTTGTGAATGACCTCCATGCTCAGGCCTGTTTCTGTGATGATTGATGGTGTAGTCTACTGAAGACGGAAACACTTACTGTACTAAATATGAACAGCGCATCATCCGTCCTTCTGCAGTCCTCGTCATCACCACTGGGGCATCGGCAGTTCCACACCATCCACGCTCGTAGTCAGTTTAGTGATTTCACTGACCTATTTAGTTTTTTCTGGGTTTGTGATGAATACAGAGCTCTAATTTTGCTGAAAATGGGAACGCCCTTGTCAGCCAGCCCCGTCTTGCCTGCCACTGCTGCCCTCCAGGCTCTGCATTATCCGATGGTTAAAGCCACGGCTGGTACCCACTCGTGCCGGTCCTCCTCTATTCCTTGCACAACCAACCAGTATAGATGGACTAGGTTGTCTTGGAGCCAGCACCTTGTATTACATGCAGCCAACGTGCAGGAAGACACAGGCATGTAGGCAGACAAAAAATTGGCAGGAGTGGCCTTGATTTGGTTGCAAATCTGTCCTCGGCTGTCCCCCATGGCCCCCCTCCAGCCCCAGGGCCCATACAAGTACATTGCACAGGAGTTGTGGTGACACGCAGCCTGCAAGGAGCCAGCTGGTGCCCAGGTTACAAAAAGTCTGGCTAGCCAAATCTAGGAGTTTCTCACAGACACCGCTGAGACTGATCTGATTCTTCCCTGAATAGCAGTCACACCTCAAACAGCAAAGGTCCGCACCCGCTCGCTTGCCCAGCCAGGCAGTCCTCCTTTGCCAGCTGCCCTGTTTTTTGACGTAGTTTTGTCTGTGCCTTGTATTTGTCACAGTTCATGGTCCACTTCCCAGCAGGAATGACCCCGCATTCCCCTGCCCCATTTTTGCGGCATGTGCAAATAGCAAATGGGTCAGGAAGGGCCCTCGCTGTGGGCTGAAGGTGAGGACCACAGGGCTGTGTGTGGTGGCAAGTCAGAGGTGAAGCGCTTTGGACGGCCTTGCTAGAAATGTGTCTCCTGGCCTTGTGGATGCAGAGGTGTCATGCTGCAGGGTTCACACAGTCACAGAATGGTTGAGGTTGGATGGGACCTCTGGCAGGTCATCTTGTCCAAAACCACCCTGCTCAAGCAGGGCAACCTGCAGCAGGTTGTCTAGGACTGTGTCCAAATCGGTTTCGGATATCTCCAAGGATGGAGATACTCCCTGAGTGCTGTGCAGCATGGGCACCCCAGGGGCCCTCTGCGAATAACCAGAGACCTGCACTATGGATGCAGACAAAATCCTGACACTCACTGTGACCTGGCAGAGCAGCGCAGACAGGCAGCAAACCCACACTAATGCCCTCTCTGACTGCCAGCTCTTCCCAAGCTGGAAATAATTCAGAGAAGAAGAATTAATGGCAGATGAGATTTTGCAGAAAGTTTAGCTTGGGGAAGTTTTCTCCTATATCTAATAGCAGATTTAATGGTACTGAGTAATGCAACCTAGAAAAATAATAAGCAGTGTGCTACTTTTGCACATAGGATGCCCAGAGTTACAGATGTGTCCCAGGTTCTGCAGGCTGTAGCTTCACAGCAGAACACAGAACAGTCTTGAGTTTTATTCGTCAGTTCCAAAAAAAACATCCAACTAGTTTGGGGGTGGAGAGATTTGAATGATGACCCTGGGTTTCTGTTCTTTGTTCTTTGTATTTGAAACTTTGGTACTTACATGGGTATAAGGGAAAAAATGGGTGTTGAAAGCCTAATTCAAGGAGCCAGGATAAGACTTGAGGCTCTGCCATAGATAAGTTTGTACAGCCAGGTTATACTGGTCAATTGTGGTTGAATTTGGATGTGGTTTTTCAGAATTGTATAGAGTTAAATATTATTTGGGCCAAGATTTATAAGAAGGATTCTCTAGTCATCTGATTAGTGCATTTGTGTTTAATGTGGAGAGTTTAAATCAATCAAGTCTAATCAGTCTGGTTCTTCGTGCGGGGAGCTGATTATTCACCTCTTCGCACAAAGTGGAAGAGCTGCAGCAGAAGGGACTCAGCCCTTCTGGGGAAGCCGTTTGACCTTCTCCATAGGAGACATTTGCTCCCTAAGCCTGATCCTCTCCACCAAGAAGTACAGGGGAGCAAACTGTGGCCCGTTATCTGCATGGTGAGCAGCTGGGTAACCTGGCGAACTGGGGGAAGGAGGGCCATTTTCTTTCAGCTTCTGATGGAAAGTTTTATCTTGGATTTCAAAGAAATCTGCGACAAAACTGATGCTTTCCTTGC